AGACTCGGGAGCTATAATAGGTTTGGTGACCAGGCTACATCAATAATCCATACTGACACTTGTCAGCCCCTGTCAAATGGTTTTCATGCTAGTACTGTTCATGATTTCCCTATTTCTATTTCTGTTTCTCTCTCTCTCTGCCTCTCTTTCTCTCTCTTTCCCTCTCTTGTGTCTCTGTCTCTGTCTCTTTCTGTCTGTCTGTCTGTGTCTCTCTCTCCTCCTCTCTCTTTTCTGTGTCTCTCTGTCTCTCTCTCTATGTCTGTCTCTTTCTGTCCGTATCTCTAAAGCGACACTTCACAAGCTACAAGACTAGCTATTCTGTTGTGTTATCTTTTTCTTTTTTTTAAACTCCAGGACTATTAGCATTTGTATTTGAATCATATGAAACAATTAAGTATCATAACGGTTTGGCTAAGGTTAACTAATGCAGCAGATGGAGTTATGATTTGAATCATATGAAATAATAAAACTTAAAAGTATCTTTTTACTAAGAAAAATCATTAAATGGTATTAAAAACATCAACGGTAGTTTGTGTGTGTTGGAAATAACACTCGCCACTACTATCTACATAACACGCTCTTCAGGAACCAGTGGCCAAGGTGCAATCAACGTCATCAATAACCAGATCTCCGTGTACGGAGGGGCCGGGGACGACGGGTGCTGCCACAAGTGCTGCGCCGCGCCTCCTTGCGGTTAGTACATGCTCTACACCATAATGCTATAATGTATAATGTCCTAAATATATTGATATACGCTATTCACTAGACTACACACTAGACTATCACACTCTATTCCAGCATTTACCACAATGAACTTAAAAAGCAAATGTGTGGCAACCCATATTTATTCATAGGGATATATATTAAAGACTGTATAGATATTTTTAAATCTGTAAATCTCAATAAATAGAATAAAAAAATATTCATCCAATGATTGTAAAAGTTCATACATATCCCATAGTAGCCGCCCACTCTTGTATTAGTAAGGGAAGCCTTATGAAAGTGTAGTTAGATGCCATACCTTGTACCCTGTACAATTGTTGTGCAATGAAGTTATCACTTCTTCATACTAGGTGTGATGACAGTCTTTATGTAAAATCTTGGACTTTCTGTAAATCTTGAAACTTGCCTGATGCTTGGAGCTTCTCCCGTGCTTTTATGTCTGGCATAAATGAGTCTGTCATAAAACTTGAACCGAACCTGAATAGTTTAAAGACTTTGGACCCTTTTATTCTCCAGGCTGCAAGGGAAGCCCCGTACCAGTTCCTGTTCCAGTACCGGTACCTGTCCCTGCCCCTATACAAAAGGCACCTCCTGCTCCAGGTAAACAATGCCTTCGGCTTTAGCTTTACAGTTATAACACCCTTTATAGACAATAGATTCTACGTGATAAATGCATTTTTTTTCATGCATCTTCAGCCAACACCGTGCCGTTGATACAAATATAATGCTACGCTGGCGTTGCCCCCTTTTCATCATCAGTAGGCATAATGATTATATCGAATACTTACGTCTTGACAATGATAAAGTTTTCAGCGATTTTTCATTGTTGTAAGTATACACCATCGGCCTCGATTTTAGACAGTGTGACGCTGCACTCAAGTTAACAACTTAACAGCGCCACACAACAAAAAAGGTACAATTAATATTTAAATATACAAACTTTACATATCTGTGCGCCGTAGTCCCACCACCCCAAGACATTAAAATGTTAAATTAAATGCTAACAGAGCTATTTGAAAGATAAGATTACATGGTAACCTCCTATATCCCGCCAATCAGAGCTAGGAGGGAAATTTAGGTCCATTAACACTTTGGACTTCTATATCTAATTGACTGTTAGAAACAGTCAAGCAGAGCTAGAAGCGCTTGGTATCTCCAATCGGTCTCGATTGGTAATGTATCTCGTGAGGTTCAAACAGAAATATTCTGCATACAAACATTAGCGTCGACACTGCTTTATTTTGTTCGTGGGTGTAGACTCATGCCATGCTTGTTATATCTACTCGAATTACGTTCCAGATATCGACGACTGTTCTCCGAACCCTTGTCAAAACGGAGCGAAGTGTAAGGACATCGGGGACAAGTACCAGTGTGTCTGTCAGCTGGGATTCACCGGAGACCGCTGCGAGACCAGTGAGTGGAGTATTAACATCATTGAATAGCTTACTTACTTACTTACTTTACTTTATCCGTCCACTTCTACCGTCTGGGGTGTCGTAGGGAGGGACAGTTAGCGGTCGACGGCTAGTCTGGATCTTGTTAAAATTTTCATGCAAGTTGTATATCAACTTTGAAAAACCTCATTTACATGATGCATGGAATAGTATGCATATGCTTATATTGTAATGAGATATTGTAATGCATGTAATGAGATGATACCCAAGTAAGCTTTACTGACTTCAATACAAATGTTCATCTCTCCAGATGTTGACGACTGCAGCCAGAATCCCTGTGAAAATGGCGGGAAATGTGAAGATCTGGTCAACGGCTTCAAATGTAAATGTGCAAAGGGCTATTCCGGCAACGTGTGTGAAGTCGGTAAGTAGCATTTAAGAGTGAGTGAGTGGCTGAGTTGGTGAGAGATTGAGTGGTTAAGTGGGTGAGGGGTGAGTGGGTGTGTGAGTGAGTTAGTGAGTGAGTGAGTGAGTGAGTGAGTTAGTGCGTAAATGAGTGAGTGGTTGAGTGAGCGAGCAAGTGAGTGGGTGAGAGATTGAAAGAGTGGGTGAGTGAGTGAGTGAGTGGATGCGTGAGTGAGTGAGCGAGTGAGTGATTGAGTGAGTGAGTGAGGGTGTTGCATTTCCATAAAATACCATGTGAGACTAAATGTTTGATGACAGATATCGAAACGTAAACAGGTTAGAGTATTTTTGGTTGTGTAAAAGAAAAGCTCAAAATCTTATGTTCTACCAACCTGATAAAATCATTTTTGGGACATTCTCACTCAGACGTTGATGACTGCGCCGGAAAACCTTGCCAAAACGGTGCCGAGTGTGTGGACAAGGTAGACAGGTTTCAATGCAAATGTCTGAAGGGATTCGCTGGAGAACTCTGCGAAACGAGTAAGTGCAACTTCTACTGCATTGTTCAATAAAATATATTCTCCCTAAAGGTGACTATCCATATGGTTATTTCATTGTTGCTGATGGTAAATTACATTATATAATTACAATCGCATTTTTCTTTGAGGCCATTTGCTTTAGTGTTGATATCTGGTCAGACGTCAGAGTTTTAGGTTTTCTACAGTTGACGAGCATGTCACTGGTCAATAATAGTACATGCATCATTTATGGCCATCTTCAGTCAACATTGGCAATGGTAAAACCGTAAAATCCTTATTGTCAAAGGCCCTACAGCTTTGGCTATTTGGCCGAACAGTCCTATATAAGAATGACAGTCTCTGCCACATAGGGCACATCTGTAAGCTGACTCTAGTCTGTTGTAAGGTACATATGTTGGGTCAACAACTCAAATAAGATGTCTGGCGGAGGTGAAAGGTCAGGTGAGGTCACCTGACGTTCTTTTTCTTGAGCTCGCCAGAATTTGCGTTCTGGTGGCTCATTAGCGGTGAAAACCGCACATTTTCCAGTTACTTTGATTCCTAAGTTTTATAAGTGATCACTGACTGTCGTCGCTGCCTTGGAGTTACCCGTTTTCTTCCCTGTGAGAGTTTTGTGGCTTCTTTTCGCAACCAGTGGGAGGGCGAGCTACGCATACAGCAAAGATGGCGGCTCGTGAACGTGACGACATTTCAAGGCTCCAAGACACCAACCTTTGGATCAAAAATTGACGCAGTCGGTATGCCTAAACTTTCTGAGTTCGATGTAGTTGAAGCTTTATACAATACTGTGCGAAACGAGATGACGGATGCCATAAAACCCGACGAAATATTAGGGGCGCAGTACCTTAGCCAAAAACGCACCTGGGTAATCAACTTTTCATGCCTGGATGCTAAAGCTAAAGCGATCAGTGTCGGTCGCGTTGTCGTCGGCACAGGGTCTTACGGTATCCTGGACTTTCAAAAGACAGGATTAAGGAAAGCTGAAACCAGAATTTCAATTCATGGAATCCCACATAGTGTGTCTGATGAAGAAGTAGCTCAGTGGGTGGACTCTCGTGCTGAAAGGCTAACAGAGGTCAAGAGGCATCAAAAGAAGAACAGGAATGTTGACTCACCTTTTCAGCATCTGTATTCGGGGCATAGATTTTGCTATGTCTCTAAGATCATTAACCCGTTTCCACGCTACTCCACTTACAGTATACCTGATCCTACAGACACTGATTCTTTAATTGATATAGAAGTGACTGTGTTCCATGACGGTCAATCTATCAATTGCAAATCCTGCAAAGCCGAGGACCATGCATTCCACGAATGCCCTCACCGCATCACCTGCTACATTTGTGGAAAGAAAGGACACACGAAAAAGTGGTGCAGAGCCGACAAAACTATTCCATCTCGTGAAAGCAGAAAAGATATTGATCAGTCAGTAAGTGCTGGACTTAAGTCTGCAAGGGAAGCTTCCAACCCTTCCTCCCGCCCTTACTCGACTAGATCTACCCGTGAAACAGGCAATGATAGCCACAGCGGAGACGAGCACAGCGGTGAGTGGGCTTCCGGTGATCCGGACGAGGCTGCTGAAGCTGTAGAAAGCCCTATAGATGTGGAAAACAGCGAAGACGAAAACACTGGAAGAGGGGCAAAAGCAAAACCCCCACAAGAGGAAGCAGGGCTCTCTGATGGGTCCTATCAGAGGAGACGAACGCGCTCATCGCGTCCAACGTCGACCAGCACCGAGAACACTGGGGAGCGTGGTCTACGACGCCAACCTGTGTCAACAAGGTCAGCTAGAAAGAGAAAGAACGTTCTTACTCCACCTGATAAGGCAAAGCCGGACAAACTTCACAAAGACGATGGTCGTTTGGACGATCAGGGGAGAAAGAAAGACAATGGATAGTTACTGTAGCTGAACTATCTTCCACCGACACCTATGGTACGACTGCTCACCATCAATACACGAGGTTTAAGGAAACGAACGGTACGACGAACTGTTTTTCAATTTCTTAAGTCAAAAAAGATTGACATTGTACTAATGCAAGAAACTTATATAACAAGTGATGATTTTTGAATTGTGGACGAAAGAGTGGGGTGGTAAACTTTTTGCCCATCCCAGTACACGTCACAGTAAGGGGCAAGTTATTCTTATATCTAAACATTTTGACTGTAAAAACATTGAGTTCATTGATATTTCTGACCGTATTATCGGTGTACGATTTACGTCTCAAAATGAAAAATTTGTTTGTTTCAACATTTATGCCCCAAATGCTGTGACATGTAAAAAGCTGTTCCTCTCCCAAGTATCGAACATGATACAAAAATATTGTACTGATTTTGAACATGTACTAGTTGCTGGAGATTTTAATACGACCCTTAACAACTCTCTCGATAATATAGCGGGAAGGGACCACGACAGCACAGAAATGACAATTTTGAATAATATTTTGAATGAACATGACCTTGTTGATATATGGAGAACATTTCATGGTGTTGAAAGAGAGTACACCTGGTCCAAAAAGAATCCATTCATTGCTAGAAGACTGGACTATATCTTTGTTAATGATTTGTTATTTGATAAAAGTACCAGCTGTGAGATTTGGTCCTTTCCATGTAGTGACCACAGAGCAGTCATGATGGACATGTGTGTGACCCAACAGGATAAGGGTTCATCATACTGGAAATTTAATAACTCTTTATTGTATGATAAATTTTATGTAGACAGTGTTAATCAGATTATTGAGAATATCGAAGATGGCCTAAATGCCTCGTCGATCGAGAACAAACAAATGATGTGGGATTATTGTAAAAATAAAGTTAGATGTTTTTCGATTGACTACGGCAAACAAAAAGCTAATGAAAGACGCATGACTAGCAAAGTTTTAGAAGAAGATTTAATGAGACTAGAAAAACAACTAGCCACTGATCCAAATAATGCAACATTACAGCAACAGGTGTACAAAAAGAAAGCCGAATTTGAAATGCATGCTCTCTATAAGGCACGTGGAGCACAAATTCGCTCCAAAACCACCTGGATTGAGAAGGGTGAGAAAAACACAGCATATTTCCTCAGGTTGGAGAAGGCGCGTGCAGCGCGTAATGTAATAACAAGTCTTAGGAGGGATGATGGTACAATAATCACTGATCAAGCAGGATTATTGAACCAACAAACACAGTACTTTAAGAACCTTTACCGTGAAGAATCACCATTTAAGTTAAATGAATATGAAGAGTTTGCCTCTGATATAAATGCCCCTGTGTTAACTGATATGCAAAGAGAAACATGTGAAGGGTTAATTACCATTTCTGAATGCATAGCTTGTTTGAAAAATATGCGAAGCTGTAGCCCAGGTTTAGATGGGCTGACAACAGAGTTTTATCAATTTTTCTGGTGTAAAATTAAATCATTAGTTGTTGATTCACTGAACGAAAGTTTTGTTAAGGGTCAACTCTCTTCTACTCAAAGGAAAGGTGTTATCTCTTTGTTATTTAAGGGTAATGATGAACATGACTTGTGTAGGGACAAGCTTACGAACTGGAGACCCATATCAATTACCAACACTGATTATAAGTTAGGCGCCAAAGTCTTGGCAAACAGGTTACAAAATGTGATACCTAATATTGTCAGTGAGGATCAGACTGGATATATTAAAGGACGTAGCATCACAAACAACGTGAGGGCCATTGATGATATAATATCTTTTACGAAAGAATCTAATTCTCCTGGCGCAATACTCTTTCTAGATTACAGCAAAGCTTTCGACAGTATTTCTAAAGACTTGATTCTACATGTTTTGAAGAAATTTAATTTTGGTAGTGATTTCATACATTGGATTGATGTGTTTACTAGAAACTCACAAAGTTGTATTAATCATTGCGGTTTTCTGTCTGATTGGATCGATTTAGAAAGAGGTGTGCGCCAAGGATGCCCTCTGTCAGCTCTTCTGTTTGTACTCGCAGTAGAGGTATTTGCTTTGAAAATTAGACAGTCAACTAACATTAAAGGTATATGTCTTCCTTCCTTTGACAGTAGTGAAGTGGAATCTCGTATTTTTCAATACGCTGATGATACAACGTTAACTCTTGGGGACAAAATTTCCATTTCAGCCAGTCTTGATATTATCAATGATTTTTCGTCCTTTTCTGGATTAGTCTTAATAGGGGAAACCGAAGCTATGTGGCTCGGCTCCTTTAGAAATTGTAATGAACATGTTGGTGGCCTTAAATGGACTGATACGGTAAAATGTTTAGGTGTTAGTTTTTCACATTCTGTGTGTGCCTCAAATATTGAAGCCAATTGGAATAGAAAAATTCTTAAAATGAAAAAACTTCTTTCTTCCTGGGCCCCTCGAAACTTAAGTTTGTTGGGTAAAATATTAATACTTAAGAGTTTAATCGCTTCACAACTTTCTTTCTTGTTAAGAGTACTAGTACCACCTGACAAGTTCTTAAATGATGTTAATCTCATGTTCTACAGATTTTTGTGGAAGAAGGATCGAGTTAAACGTAATGTATTAATTCAGGATTACACGGCAGGTGGGTTGAAAATGCCTGACATAAAAATTATGCATAAAACGTTTATGTTGAAATGGATAAAAAAGCTATCATACCAATGTAGTGCATACTTACCTACTTGGAAGAAGATTCAGTTAAGTTACTTACATAGATTTGGTTCTAACCTTTTTATCTTTAGATGTAACTGCAGTGTTCAGCATATTCAACCTAGCTACTGTATGCAATCCTTACCTGTTTTCTACCAGAAATTGATACAAATCTGGTATGATTTAAAGGCACCCGAATCGATAGATGCTATAACTGATGAAAATGTACCATGGCAACCTCTTTGGAACAACAACTGTATCACATATAAAGGTAAAATGTTATATTTCAGTAGTTGGGTCAAAAAAGATATTATGTACATTAATGATATTGTAGATAAACAAGGACACTTTATGGCATTAAGGGAGCTGAAAAATATTGTTGGAGATTATCCATGTTTATTGTTTCAATACAATGCCCTATTTAATGCTATTCCTCCCAAATGGAGAAGTACTCTTCACATAGAAAGTGAAGTGCCTAAGATAAGACTACAGGGAAAAGATGTTTGTATACAGACTAATTCTTTTTTCAAAAATATTCTTCTTTTTCGGAAAGCAGTCACGCCTACGGGCCAAAGTTTCTGGGAAAAGCGTTTACAGGGGATGGATTTTCAATCCACACCCTGGAAGACAATATGGATATCGTTATTTCTTGTTATAAAGGAACCAAGAATTCGTTCACTACAGTGGAAAGTGTTACATAATGTATATCCGACCAGAGTTAAATTACATAAACAAGGTATTTCAGAGAATGACAAATGCTTGTTTTGTAACTCTGTGGACTATGTTGAACATTTTTTTTATTATTGTGACATTGTAAAACCCATTTGGTCAGAAGTAGAAAAGCTTTATTGTATCAAATACGGAAACACATTATTGCTGTCTGTACAGGATGTTATCCTCGGCTACAAACTTCACGACATTGTAAAATATCACTATATTAATGTACTGATACTACTTGGCAAATTCTCAATTTGTAAGTATAAATATGGTGAATACAAGGGTAGTATACGGATATTATATGAAAATGAATGTTCCGTGAGAGGCTTAATTTAAACGTTGCTTACCATGTTGTAAACAATGTATACTACATGTTTTGTAAACCGAAAACTTCAGGAAAATCGTAAGCAGTTTGGTGCTCACGAATATGAAACCAACTGTTAGTTCATTTGCAATGTATTGTTATGATGTTGTTATGTGAATAAAGTTTTCAAAAAAAAAAAAAAATAAGATGTCTGGCAATGAAACAAAATCTTGTTGTTTGTTTGTTTGTTTGTTTGTTTGTTTATGTTTTTGTTTGTACTACAGATGTTGATGACTGCGCTGGCAATCCGTGTCAGAACGAAGGCACATGTAAGGACCAGGTGGACGGGTACCAGTGCGTCTGTAAGCTGGGATTCGCCGGCAATAACTGCGAAACAAGTAAGTTCCAGGTTGACGTTTTGCCTTTCATAATATACAACTGGAACAAAATTCTTAATCACACAAAGTGCCATGTTGTACCCAGAATCATGATCAGTCACGGTTCGGGATGGTCCACGCGTGTCCAGAACCATGTCTGAGGCAAATCTACGTTCTTGGACACGCGAATACTATCCAGAACCAGATCCTAACCATAACCCATTCAGGCATAGAACTAGATGAACACGATTCTGGGCACAATACTAGAACTTAAGTTATATGTATGTTAGAAATAGCTGTACTGAATCAACGGTTCATTTTTTCACAGAAAAACACAAAGCCTACATTAGTTACAAAGCATCTACAAGAGACCACCTTCACTTAAATGTGAGCACGCAGTCTAGTACAACAGGATCGTCCATAGAGCATGTAACCGACTGTATGCCAAGAACAATACTGTTCTTTACATGTGCCCATGGATATTTTGCAGTTTTTATACCTGGCTGAGACAACAGACATAACAGTGTGGGTTGGTGCTCTGTGTACAATTCAACCTAAAATGACATTCGCTACCATTTACTCTCTTGTTACAGATGTCAATGACTGTAAGGACGACCCTTGTCAGAATGGTGGCAAGTGTGAGGACCAAGTGAATGGCTACAAGTGCATTTGTGCAAAGGGATTCCACGGAAACAACTGTGAGATCAGTAAGTACTACACTTCTCTATTAGCTATAGAGGATTGCTTCCATGTCTTCACATCATTGCTAGCTCTTTACAAACTATGGGCAATTACAGCTAAGAACATATAAGCATAGACTAGTGGCCTTTGTCAAATGACGTAGATACTAATTTCTTAACACTAACAACCCGTTTTTACTTTTACTGGAAGATGACAAATACCCTGCCAATGGTAAAACGGAGAATAAATTACGATCAATGGATAAAACATCATGTGTACAGGGGCTTACTGCTTTTAAGATGGTTCGGGTATTTGGGTACTAGTATGCAGTCTTGACCGAAGTTGTACCAGCTGCAATCATAGCATTGGATGACTGAGTTACTACGATTTAAAAAAGGCCAAAGAGACAAAAGACCAGGATGACCAAAAAGATCTTCCAGCTAGCTGTATGTTGACTAAATGTGCACTAATACCCAGATCCTTAGTGGTATGAAACGTATACATAGCATACCAACTAAATCACAACCTTTTATCTTGACTTAGACGTAGACGACTGCGCCGGAAAGCCGTGCCAGCATGATGCCGAGTGTGTGGACAAGGTGAACGGGTTTGAATGCAGATGTACTAAAGGATTCGCTGGAGACCTGTGCGAAACGGGTGAGTATATAACTTTTACTGTATTCTCACCATCATCGTTGACACCGAGTAGCTTACATGTTTATTGTATATCTAGTGCAAAATGTGAGGTGGATGCTGCTCAAATAAAAGCGCGAAAAAGAGGCGTTGATTTGCATATATCTACAGCCAGAACATTTGGGCTTAGCCATCGTTGGTTGGCTCTTGGTTGGCTGATGTTCGGGAGTAGGTCAGATGTGGTCGGTCCGTGGTTGGCAGTGAACTTTGACTCAAATCTAACTCAAATCCGATTCGATGCTTATAGAAAGATAGGTGTGGCCTAAACCTGGTCAGATATAGCTCTCGAACTTCAGCAAACTTTCGTTGGTTGAAGCTTGGAGCAAGGTTCAGAATGTGTGTCAGGGCATTATTCTTCTTCCTCTGTCGGTTTAAAGACTAAAGATATGGTGAAAGGTGCAATAATCAAGTCAACAACTCAATTCCTAATTTTTAACTGTCTTGTAATTGTATGTAATCTGTCTTTTTGTGTATATCTGTTTTATGTACGCATGTTTGTCTGATGCTGAGCCCTGGAAGATTAGCTCCTAATGGGGCTTAAGGGCATATTAATAAACCAATAGACCAACAGTTTCAAGTGCCTGTGCGAAGGTGCATGGTGAGGAAGGGGTATCCTGGTAACGTGAGTTAGCTGATCCTCTGTTTGTTTGCACTACAGACGTGAATGACTGCGCCGATAACCCGTGTAAGAACGAGGGCACCTGTACGGACAAGGTGGGCGGGTACGTGTGCACCTGCAAGCTGGGATTCGCCGGAAACAACTGCGAAATAGGTCAGTGTCGAATCAACGGGGTCTTTTCTTTTTATATAATAATAACTTTATTTGCAAAATCATGTCCGAAGGCTAATTGCTTTTACAGTCAAAGATACAATGCAATAGTAGGAAACAGACAACTACTGGAAAAACTTATACTACTACGCTAGCTATTATAAGGTGTGACTTCTTCTTTGAAGGCTGTGGATAATGAACAGTCTCACGTTCTGCATAATGAGCGGGTTTTGTGATCTTAGTAGAAACGTTTGTTAGAAGTATTGAAATCAACAACGTATAGACAATACATATAGCTACAGTCTAGCTAGCTAGCCAGGTATATATTATACCGATTTTTGTAGTACTACAGTCTGTACTACATGAAATGGAAGATGAAACATAACACACTCTGGCTCTCTCTCTGCACTATCCATGACTATATTGAGTATTTAATATCAATACACATACAGTATACCTATAATCTACATTGTAGGTAGTATTATGTTGATGCTCTTCATCCTAACGTATGTTAAACGCTGATAATATCCCTTCTCAGATGTCAATGACTGCGAAGACGAGCCTTGTCAGAACGGTGGCAAGTGTATAGACAAGATTAACGGCTACGAGTGCGAATGTGCAAAGGGGTTCTCCGGTAACGCATGTGAAGTCAGTAAGTACGAAACTCTTTTCAGAGATTGCTTTGTAGGCAGATTATAGTCACGACGTCTAAACTATATATTTTAAATGAATAGCAAAGTTCTTTGATCACAACCATTTATTTTTCACGAGCCGACGTTCTGTCATCTTCATCAGGGCAATTCTGACTGGTTTTCTGTGCACTGATACTAGATATTACTTGGTGCATAGTGCACTAAAGAACGGATTTTTTTGAAGATATATATATTTTATAGATGTGGTAGCTTTCAGGAAAGTAATGACTATTTAGATGTATACCATTTATATAGACAATGAATAGCTTTTATGGGAAGGGGAGTAAGATAAAGAAGCCGCGAGTTAAAGAGCTTACCCACAAGGGGTTGGGAGGCTTTGGACAGTTGTTTCAGAGATTTCTTAATCTTCAACTTTGATGCTTATTTAGACATAGACGACTGCGCGGGAAAGCCATGTAAAAATGAAGCCGAGTGTAGAGACAAGACGGACGGGTTCGACTGTATCTGCCGCCCGGGCTTCGCTGGAGTTCTCTGTGGCACAGGCAAGACTACGTCGTTACTTTGCTTTCCAATTTTCCCTTATAGGTACCCTCTTCGTTGTTATGTTGGCATGGTAGATTTCCCAAATACGAATTCTTATGTTATATGCAGTAGAGAAAACCAGTAAATATTAGTAATAGAAGTAATCTAACATCTCAGTAAATAATGGAACATCATTGCCATCATGGAATGAATGAATGAATGAAGACCTTTATTAATTAGTTTCTGCCTTGTCTCACACTTCCCTCTTTTCTCAGTCTGTATGTGTGAGTAAGTCTGTCTGTAATTCCAAATATACACAAAGCAGCATTGCCATACATCCTCAATGCTGCTCGTTTCATCTGAGGAACTAGAAAGGTAGCGAAGAAGCGTGGGTAAGGGTGTAACCATAAGTCTGCCATCTCTGATTGCTTTTTCTTTGTTTTTGCTGCAGATGTTGACGACTGTGCAGAGAGCCCGTGTCAAAACGAAGGCACGTGTAAGGACCAGGTGAACGGGTACAAGTGCACATGCAAACTGGGATTCGCCGGTGTTAACTGTGAAACAAGTAGGTACCGAATTAATGGTTTGTTTTCCATTGGACATTCTGGTTAAAGTTGAAAGATTTTTGTACTAGAAACCGTAGTTTGTAGTAATGCTTTTTGTCTAGAACACAACATGGATGACAAGCTATCTATATTGCTCAGCAGATATTATCATTGACAAAACAATCAATGGACTATAACTGTGGATTATATATACCAACACAGATGAGCTTTCATTCGAAGCAATGGAATATACAACATACATGCTCTTCTTTTAAACATGTGTTGGTCTTTTCATCGTTGGTAAACTTAAGTCCCTTAGAATGTTGTATTACGCTAAGGTAAAGTAATTTGTCTCTCTGCACAGACATCGACGACTGTAAGGACAACCCGTGTCAGAATAACGGCGAGTGTGTGGACAAAGTGAACGGCGTGGAGTGTGTGTGTAAGAAGGGATACTCCGGCAACCTGTGTGAACTCAGTAAGTGCACAATTACGCTGTACATGCGCCAAAACACAGTTACTCAAGCAACTGGATATGGTTGTGGAACGTCTGACTGTTTCAAAATCATATCCAGTTGCTTGAGTAACTGTGTTTGGCTTATCTTATTACCTGGATGTCTAATCTTCACCGACTTGTGGGTTGTCCAACACCATCTATGTCATTATGCATATTATTTTACAAAGGTTGGTCCAACCGACACATTTTACAACGTGCCATCTGCATACCTGTTCAACCACAGGTTCTGTTAGTCACTACTGAAAAGCAGTACTAGTGGATGCTACTTAAAACGTCTAACAGTTTTGAAAATTTATCCAGTCTATTGAGTAACTTTTCCTTTGGTATTCCATTAACTTGACATCTAATCTTCATTGACATTCACAACATTCTGTTCTGTTCCTTTATTGTATAAACAGTTAACCGTTACACATAATTCAGCTAGCCACTTGGTAACTGTTGTTTTGTAATCTTGAATTTGAAATAACCATCATCAATTCAATTTTGTTTGTTTGTTTCTTTGTTTGTTTGTTTAGCCAGGGAACATATCGCCCTGAAGGGTGCTTTTCAATGTACCCTTTGTCATCTAAGTTTTTTATTTGCCTATTGATACTGTTTATTAAAGAATCTGATATTTTTGTCTGGCTCAGATATCGACGACTGCAAAGACCAGCCGTGCCATAACGGTGCAGCCTGTACGGCCCTGGTGGACGACTTCACCTGCGTCTGTCCTGCGGGATACGCCGGCAAACTCTGCGAAACAAGTAAGCCCAAGAGTTACTAATAACATTATGGCTGACCAGTGTTGATTAGATAAACTAATCTCCAAGCAGATGTTTCGGTGGCTGCAAAACAGTATCAAATTGACCAGACAGTATCAAATTGGCCAGACAGTATCCAACACCGCAGCCACCGAAACATCTGCTTGGAGATTAAGATAACCTCCCTCTGCATAATTTGGTCTATTTCAAAGGAAGAATGTACAGCAGGATATGGATGTCAATATCTGTGAGACGAGTAACAATTACTGTTATCCCCTTTCTGACTTGGGGTACAGTTATTCCAATATGGATACTGGTTTCAGTCTGAGACTTATAATATGCACTTATATGAACTACATTACAGACCAAATTGGAATGTCTTTAAGAACTTAACTTACATATTGTATTTTCTTCGAAGTTGTCGGTGACGAGAAGGTCTTCATACCCTTGTGGTATCTAGAAATCGCTGGTTCAGTCATTTGCACATCATATCAACATCATAATAGCATATGCTTCTTTCTAAGCTGTTAAAACTGACGGAGACTGTCTTGTCTTTTGCCACAGATGTGAATGACTGTGAAAACAACCCATGCAAGAACGGAGGGAAGTGCAAGGACAAAGTGAACGCCTTCGAGTGCGAATGCGCGGAGGGATTTGTCGGAAACCTGTGTGAACTCAGTAAGTACGAATTCCACATCTGTAAAAGTTAACGTTTGAGTTTAAGCAGATCCTATATATCTATCTAGTCCCTTGTTCATTTACCTGATTTGGCTTACTATTATAAAGCCATTAAGCAGCAATGGCACTATTACGTTACATGCTCCTTCTTCTTCTTTCTACAACAATCATTTTCAGTTGAAACTTAAAAAGCAGATGTCTGTCTTCAAGTCATGATGCACCCTTTTGACTGCCACTCGACATCATACTTCTATGGCAGAGCTATCATAGGGCAATACTCTAGCTTTATGATTAAGCTCCCAAGACTAGCATATTGCCACAGTATAGCTCTGCATAGGATAATGCTCAGTACGTATTCACAGGACATGTACTACTCAGGTCTTGGGGGTGGGGGTGGTGGCATATACGTTGTAAAACCTCGATGACATTGGAAGGAAAAATGGAGACAGTTACGTAACGATATTCTGTTCATCCACACACCAGATGTAGACGACTGTGCGGACAACCCGTGTCAGAACGAAGGAACATGCACAGATAAGGTCAACGGGTTCACATGCACCTGTCCGGAGGGTATCACCGGAGACCTGTGTGAAAAGAGTAAGTTTGTCTCATATTCCTTACATTTCAATATATGAACATCACTTGGCGTCATAGTCAAGAAGTCCCGGGTTCGATCCCCTAGCATGCCCGATGCTGTGCCCTTTAGAAATTTTTTTTAATTTTTCACCTTAAAGCTTATACGGTGGATTGATACATACACGACAGCTCTTGGTGGCGTCTTGGCTACATTGAAGCGGACATTAAGTTTCAATGTTTTGTTGACGTCCAACTAACAAATTGCTATCCTCAATTTTCATGACATCTTGAGTTAAGTTATATGTCTTGGCGTATTGGCTCCACTTAAACCTTCACTATTGATGGTAAATATCGCAGCTTAAACATGTTTGCTGCTTTGGTTGCGTCTGTACTTTGGTTCTGTACGTGCGGTCTGATGAATAAGAAGTCAATGATATGCATGATGTAACTGTTTTACAGCGGTTGTCGCCTCGGCAGTCTTCCCACCGAAACCAAAGAGTGCGGCCCAAGTTCAGTCTGCTCCTCCACGTGAGTATGCCCTGTGCCTATCAAAGTTATAGTCACTGGTTTATACATCCTTTGATACTCTTATGACTAATGCCCTGTTAGTTGTGTGATAGAAGGGTTTGGGAGGGACACTGTGGCAATGTGGACTCAAGGTTTAGAGTTGACAACGCTACAAAATAATTGGAAGGTATTTTTTTTTTATATTTGTGGTCTGTTATTTATAAGAGTCCTTAAAGGGTGTGGAACCTTGTGGTAACTTATTTTTTTTAATATTTACAGGAGTATACTACTATATAGTGACTTCAGATATTGTATTGTTTGTCTGAGAGCCATCACTCATTCGTATGTCTGTTACTGTTTCCACAGAGGCCCCAGCCCCAGTAGAGCAGCCGGCACGTGAGTATTTAAACTGATATTGCTTCGGCTGAAAGTTGTTCTTGCTGTTTCATTGATCCTTCGATGTGATTTCTGTCAAATGTTTGAAAGAGAGCAAAGTTCTGTAGCTGTGCGAATTTTTATTTTCTGTTTGTGTGTTTCCTGTTAATCATTGGAGTTCAGATTGTGTTATGTTGCTGCTTTAAAAATTAAACTATGGTAGCTGCAGTTGCCCTGTTTGTCTGATGACAATGACTCATTGATATACACGCAACTGTTTATACAGCGGTTGAGAGCTCCAGTCAGACCCAGTCTGAGACTGTGGTGCAATCCGAAGAGACCCAGCAGGTGCAATCCGAAGAGACCCAGCAGGTGCAATCCGAGCAGACTCAGCAGGTGCAATCCGAAGCAGACTCAGCAGGTGCAATCCGAAGAGACTCAGCAGGTGCAATCCGAGCAGACTCAGCAGGTGCAATCCGAGCAGACTCAGCAGGTGCAATCCGAAGAGACTCAGCAGGTGCAATCCGAGACGCAGATGCAATCCGAGACTCAGGTGCAATCCGAGACTCAGGTGCAATCCAGTGAGACTCAGCAGGTGTCTGGAGGTGAGTCTGACGCTGTATACCGAAGTTTCAGCAATATCATTACTGTCGTCCTGTTTGTCGAGTATAGTAAGAAGGGTAGTGGCAGTAAATATATGAAAATGTGGCCCCTTGTTTGAAAGAATTGAATTTTCTAAACTTTGCAATCTTTGATAATGGTTCTTGGCGTTTGAGTTTGTTTGACGTTTGTGACGTAGTGGAAAGTTGTCAATACAAAACGATGTTTGCATTTTCGTCCATGGTACGTAAATGTTGACTGTAGTGATTAATACATGCCATTGTTTTGCAGAGGTTTCAAGCTCATCACAAACGTCATCTACAACTGAACGTGAGTATATCGTCTTTACAGGCTGCTGAATAGGATGGAAATTGGTCAAATTCAAACGTGGATTTTATATCTTATTTCTATTGTAGACAAACGATGGTATTGATCCATAGGTTTGAAAGATTACAATGAAGAATGATTGAACAGTACAGTTCTTATATTCACAACCACTTGTTAAACAAGAGCAGATATTTCGATGGCCATCGTCTGTCATCTTCTTTAAGGGGCTATAATGACTGATTCACTGACCACTAGTGCACTGAAGCCGCTAACAATGCAGTCCCAAACGTAACATACAGACTAGTAGATGTATTGTGACAACAATAGTGAGATGCTGTTCCAAAAGACTTTCTGCCTGTCCAATTGTTACTCCGTGAAGGAGGTCAGGACCTCCGGACGGAGTGTTGTAATCGGCTGATTTTTCATGTTCGCAGTCAAAACACTGGGTTCTCTTTGTGTAATCGGCACGCAATTTTATACGCCGTCTGCGGGCATGCCCGTGTTGATGCACGAATGAGTATTTTTGCCGTTGCTGCTTTCGCGGTCAATGTAATATCGCAGACGCACCCCTACAATTACGAGGCGAATTGGAATGGTCCAGAAAAACGCGTTGTTTGGAATAGCAGTGGGGGGGGGGGTAAAAGTTCATTCAGATACGGGGTGGTTTTTATAAGTGGTTCCAGATGTTTTTGCCCATGGTTAAGAGATGCCAAGTTTTTTGGAAGATGTTCGCAGCCAAAACGCATTTTTCCGTACGTCGCATTTCTGTGTAATTTCGCACGTGGTGTTGAATTATGTCCTGGATGATGCACGTCTTTTTATTTTTACCGTAGCTGTTTTGATATTGGAGTAAATGGTTATTTTCGAAACATCCCCATTTCTTTGAAATGTTTTCGTCCGTTTATGTTGGGTGATGGGGACGGAAATGTTCAGCATTACGAAATGTAAATACCGATGACGTAATCCTGTCGATTTCGAACTGGTCGGCTGTGGCGACCTAGTGGCGGCGTGTATTGTGGAGCAGCTCTTTGTAAACATGGACAATATTTTTGAGCAACCCATCAATGTGTTCTGCCTCGTGGTCGGATGTGGTCTGGGGCTGGTAAACCGCACATACTAGTAGATCGGGTAATTTTATGATTTGCTAGTTGTAAAGGCGTCTTGTAGTATGAGCCGGTATATGAAGAAGTAGCCATGCTTTCGGCCGGATTGATGTGCAACTGTTACTAATTGCAGGGACTGCGCTAATATGCCGACCAGTCGCGCTGTCCTGATACACCGCGAATGTGCGAGTGTTCCCTGTAGACAGTCCCGGGAGTCATTTTTTCGCACATTCCAGGAGCCAAACCAAAATACGTTCATGAACCGAGTTCAAAAAACCGAAACGTGAAAATCGGATGATCGGACCTGATGTACATTTCCCTTTCTGTAGATTGTACACACAATACACACATCTTTAGATAATCTGGCCATGGCAGGTTAAAAAAAAGTAACCCTGAATCATACTAGATTAGCGTAAATGCATGTTTATGCGTTCAAAACAAGAAGTTTCCGGGTATTAATCTCTTGAATCACGGCGCTGAATATTGACGCAAAAATATTTCGGGCATCGCGCGCCCTTCCCCGTTGTTTAGACTGTATGCAAATCCCGCGTCACGTGTCGGCATTTCGCATCTCTGATTGGTTGTTGCGTCTTAAGATGACTGAGCCGACGCGCGTTTAAACAATTTTTCTTTGTTCGATTTATCACACTTCACAGAGAATTGTCGCCAATGGCTACTTCTTTTTGTTGCAATATATAATACTTCACGGATAATTGTTGCCTATGGCTTCTTGTTTGTTATTGTTCTGGCAGAGTTGGAAATCGACTGTGCCAAGTGGCAGACCTGGTACAGCGACATCAAGACCAAGGTCGGAGACGCCGCGTTCAAGACAATCATGCAAACATGTCGGCCGGTCGTCTGCCGGGATGCAGCCTTCAAGACGACTTATGCAGACATGTTCACAACCATCGACTGTGCTTCTTATCTCCTCAGTAAGCGTTCTAAGATGCCTTCAATGATGCTGCAATCTCAGAATTGCTTTGATGCTGTTAAGAACACTTTCCTTTGCACGACAACAATTACTGATTAATTCTTCGTTTCTGTTGTTTTAAAACCAATTGAGTTTTATTTCTCTGTGCTGATTTTGTTTCAAGTTTGTCATAATTTCAGCATAATTTGTATGTTTTATCTATTATCATTATTGCTAAAAGTAACTATTATTATTATTGTTATTTTATTTTATGTTGCTGGACAAACAAAACCTTGCTAATATGTACATGATGTTGATATGATTCTATCAACGAAACCTAATCAAGTACATTCTAATTATTTTCACAGCCCTCAGCAGCAAGACCGAGACTCAAGGTGCGTACCATAACCTACCATCATTTCATATTAGCAATTTACTATTCCTTTCACCACGCCAGTTTTTTCCAAACTCTTCACCAATACGTTATACTGATACGTTTCAGTTATTAACAAAGGTGATTTACATTCTTAATCCACAGAAATGAAACTGGACTGTGCAGAGTGGCAGGATTGGTACACCACAGTGAAAGAAAAACTGGACGCAGCGCATTTCCAGAATGTTCTGAGGACCTGTCGACGTATGTTCAGTCGTTTGTTTAGTCTTTGAGCCCCCCATGTAACAAGTCGATTTTAGAAGGAAAACAAATTGTTTTGCTCTGTTTGTTCTTCCTCTTCTTACCAAATAAGGTCCATGACCAGACGTCTGTCACCATGGTAACTGGTGTTGGGTTACATAATGTTGCATGTCACAATATACATTTACATTCAGTATCTTTGAGTAAGAATAAACAAAGCCATGTGAACGGTAAACATGATGCTTTGCAAATGTTACCTTTCTAGTTTCATGTTAGCCTCTCCTAGAAGACGTGTCTTATTTGGAGCGTGTTGATGTGATTTCTTACCACTTGCTTGCACTCACTTATTCTGCACGCACAGATCAACTAAGTCGAACCTTAATGATGTTTATCTATACTCTCCGCCGGTCTCTATATATAAGAGCAGACATGTGTAGCTGTAGTATCTGTAAACCACATTAACGCTATTGCGTACGTATTGTCATACATATCGTTAACTATGAACAGCGTGTTTCAATTGTAGCTCTGCACTGCAGTCCTTGGGCCGAAAAAACAATGGTGACAACATCTTAGATTGTGACACCCATTGTGTTTCAGCGGCTGTCTGCAAGGATCCTGCGTTTAAAGAAACATACGCAGATGTCTTCAACACCATCGAGTGCGCCTCCTTCTTGCTAAGTAAGTCTTGAAGGATAGTAAGATAGTATTTTAGACTTTTCAAACTGGATAAAAGTCTTTAAGTGTCTTTAAGTATACTTCTGACCGTTTCTATGAAGAGGGAAAAGGCATGGAACAATCTTGGGACCAAATCTACAATGTATATAATTTATACAATGTATAATTTGAATGCTGCTATTTGTAATGTAAAGAAATGGTTCTCTTAAGGTTTTTAATCCTCTGTGTAATTCGATAATGTTTTTTTGTAAATTAGCGCTAATTCAGATTTAGCTTTCTTGTGTCTTATGCCTTATGTCTTAAATGCAATACCAGAATAGTAATGATGTGCTTTTTCCTTAAATCACTATATCTAAAACGTTGACAATTGTATAGTGTAAAATTTTAATTGATAGCGATCTTTTGTTCTGGTTTCTTCCAGCACTATCAAGCTCGAGCAAGACTACTACTAAGACTACGCGTAAGTATGGGTACTATATTGCCACCGAATTGTTAATGATTTTGAATCCACAAAACAAATTTTTATCACTGTCGTCTTGTAAGTCGAGTGATAATATGCACATGAGAATGGGGTCTAATGTTTGAAAGAATTCAATTGTCTAGACATCGGAATCTTTGTTGGTTGTTGGCATTTGAATCCATTTGAAGTCTGTGGTCTAGTGGAAAATCGACAATACAACACAACTGTGTGTATTGTCAGGCTGGTGTGTTACGCCGAAAGGCGGTTATACCGGCTATACAGATACAGATACAGAACTGTAAACTACAGAAGGTAGTCATTTTGGGGGTCTCAGTCCATGATCATAATACTACAATGTCAATAGTAACTTTTGCTATAGTTATGTCTATACTTCATTCCGATATAGCGTCAAACGCTTCCCATGGTAAGTTCGTGCAATAGCTTCCTCCCTCAGAAATTTTTGGCGGGAGGGGGTGTGGATGGGACCTGTGCTTTTAGTTATATCTAATTTGACCCCATTTTGCCTGCTTTATATTGTTCCCTTAGATCGTGTAATTTATCTGTTTTTTATGTAGTGGTATTATTATTTTATGCTCGATGGTGGCGCTTATATAGGTTTTATTATCTTGAGGGCGTCAAAATCAGTCTCGTGTATTTCTTTTCTTATTACAATATATCCTTTAATGAAAAAAAAACTTGTTTCAGAACTGGCTTCCATCCTGGGAGCTCTGCCGATGCAGGTGTTGAAGTTGATGTTTAAGGGCTCGTCTCAGTTAGATGAGGCCCATTCCGTGCTGATGGGCCGCCTGGGAAGCCAGTCTTACTGGGCCCCGGCTACCAACGACGTCAACCAGTACATGCAGGTACGGTCAAGCTTTGAAGTACACTACAGTCTTAGTGATCTGTAAAAGGGTAATAATTAAGCTTCGTAAGTCGTTTGATAGCACGGCTAAGCTTTGCAAAAAAAAACAACAGTCTTGGTGATCCGTTAAAAGGTAACTATTGGCAGGTCATTTGCTAGTAAAAGCTTCTTTTTTTGTCAACAATAATGCCCTCGTTGTAATTTCAACAACCGTCATTAGTATATAATAAACTTTGTCTCCTTGTCACATGAGGTTGGCCACAAGTTTTGGTCACAAACATGTCTAAAACGTGTCTAAAATCTACTGGTGTAGATTTTTTTTCTAGCCCAGTTAAGTCAGTGTATGCGTCTATTGTCCTCTGTGTCTTTTTATCAGATTTTTGTACAATGATGATGTACAAGATTCCAATGGTTATAACTACTCTCCAGTACTCAGCATCAACATTATATTACTTTTATTATATTACTGTTCAGCCTTAACATAGCTCATTAAAGATGCTGTAAAGAAGACATTCATTGAAACGATCTGTGACTTTTTCCCGCAGATAAACCTGCTGCAGACCACCACGCTTGCCGCCATCGCTCTCCAAGGCTCAGGCGACAGTTTCGTCAAAACCTTCAAGCTACTCCACAGCGTGGACGGCGAAACATGGACTGAATACAAGGAGGTGAGTAGAAACCAAACCAAAGTGTGCTGATGTTCAGTCTCTCCCTAGTTTGCTTGTTTGCTTCTTTGCGTTGTTTACCATTATCTGCAGTAATGTAAAATACACACTGTGAAGGTCCTGGATTGAGATATTCAGGTCTTCTTGTGGTTGATGACTGGAAAAGTTTCAGTTCATTAGCAAACGAGGGACATAAAAAAGTAAATCACATACGAGGCTACACATTTGTCTCTTTTAAATAACTGTAATACTATGTTCTTTTGCACTCCACCCTCTCCCGGAAGAATAGCTGCCACACATGATTGGACAGCTTGAGGAGAGTTGTTCCATAACAAACCCACAATTAAGTCAAAATCGTATCTGCATATTTCAGACTCTAACGGGAAGTAAGGACGGCACGGCGGTGACCACAGTGCAGCTCACCACGCCCATCACCGCCCAGTACATCCGGATCGTGCCCCTGACCTGGGGACCGGGCGGCATCGGGCTCAAGACTGAGGTCTACATCTCGGCTGGTGAGTACCACCTCTACCTCTACTCTACTCTTGGCCACAGTAAAACTGTTAGGGCTCATAGGCGCTACCAACTGACCAGGCCTAGTGGCGTCGGGTGGTATAGTGGCGTCGGGTGGTGTAGTGGTTAGAGCAATCGACTATGAACCGGGGAGACCGGGGTTCTCAAAATATAATTGTGGAACAAATATGTGTATCATGTGTATTATTTGATTGTTGTAATTGTTGTGATTTGTATTGATTATTATGTGATACCCTGCATTAATTCAGCCGTATAAAGGTTGCGACTGCACGGGTACTGTTTGGACAATAAAACCATTCAGGCCGATGGGTCTAGACCTTGTAGCCGAATCTTCCACGCTCTAACGATTCGGCTAAAAGGTCTAGACCCGTCGGCCGTGTCAGTTGGTAGCGCCTATACCCCCCCCCACACACACACACACAAACACAGTTACACTGTCACCAGCATTTCTCTCAGGATGTGGGGAGGACCTAATAACCTCCAGACGATCGTTACAAAGATAATACAGACGCAGACGAAGACAGTATATACTGGCTAACGCTGGATACAGTTACCCAGTTACTACTGTAAACGCTATGTGTATCGGGTGTCACCTCTCACTTTAGTGGTCCTTGCGCTATCTAGATAAAAGAGATTACACTTAATATCAGTTTGCCAGTGTATGGCGGTCTAATGAAACCCTTCAAAAGTCGATTTCCCATCCGTTTTTAATTGGGGTACAACTAAATAAAAAAAGAAGGAAACTAGCTTGGAGAAACAAGGGTTTTAACTATTGTCCTTTTCAACTTTTCATCGGTACGGAGACTTAGAGGAAAAAGATGAGTAACCCATCAACCCAATACAGACAGAAACGACACATTCACACAAGTCCTTCACATGCTCGCGTTGGATCTGTATTATTCTCCTGCCTTCCTCCTAAGAGATACAAAAATGTAACGTTTACTTTCTTTTACAGCTCTTGCCGCCAGCTTCACCTCTAAACTCCAGACGATCGTCACAAAGATAATACAGACGAAGACGAAGACAGTCACCAAGCGTAAGTCTGGCTGTAACAAACCGGCTAACTCTGATCCCTAACCAAGATGCGTCATTGATAAATGAGCCCAGGATATCGCTTATATTTGATTCCTAGATCTGCTTAATTCCCCAAGTTATATCATGTATAGATTATAAACGTATGTCAAAATGCCTCTTCTAGTTCCGAAAATGGAGCAAAATGTTCCACCTTAATTCCCTGTACACATATACAGAGAGAATATGTCTTACCACCAGTTCCCGAATCATTGACGATTTCGCGGCATTTGTAGACGTATGTACATGATAAGAACGATCTTTAACACCTATAAAAATCTATCAAGGTGGCCCACTGTTAGCCCGGTTACCAGACCTATTTTAGCTCCCGAGTCTTTATCCTCTCCACAAGTAGAGGGAGCTAAAATACGTCTGGTAACCAGGCTAGTCCATTGCAACTATAGAGAGATTTTGATTGTCTTACAAAATGCTGCATTTTTCTTTTCCCTTTCAGAATTCGCGGCCATCCTGGCGGCCATCCCGCCCCAGGCCCTGACCATCGTCCTGAAGGCCTCCTCCGAGCTGGACGCGGAGCACGCTGCCACCACGGCCCGTCTGGGCTCCGAGTCCTTCTGGCAACCAAAGACTGACGATGCAAACCAGTACCTACAGGTATGATCTGTAATTTTGAATGCGAATGGCCATATGCCTTTCATCAAAAACATCTTTGGAAACGGAAACCACGATCAATCTCTGCAAGAGGATACTACATTTGTCTATTGTGGTTTAAACTCTCCTCTAGCTGCCTGCGCATACGTGACAACTATTCTTCCAGGGGAGGACAGAGGAATAGATCAACGTACAGATTCATAAGATTACATTACATACATACAGTGCTTGTCTACGTGTTAAGCAGTAACGTATGTGTAAATATGATAACTGTTAAGCCTTTGACTCAACAACACAACTTTTTTTTTTTAAATTTCAGATCAACCTTGGCCAGTCCACCACTATTGCTGCTCTAGGCCTGCAGGGGTCCGGGGAGCGTTACGTCGCCACCTTCAAGCTGCAGTACAGTGTGGACGGGGAGAAGTGGACGGACTACGCCGGGGAAGATGGCACCGCTCTGGTGAGTGACTTCAGTTACATTTAATTTTTGGACCTCACATACAAAGATATTCTGATGTGCATGCATCCCTTGCATATCTCTTCAGCCATAGTTGTCTGTCTGTCTGTCCGAAAGTGTCTTTGTCTGTCTGCCTCTGTCTCTGTCGCTCTCTGTGTGTGTCTCTCTCTCTCTCTGTCTCTGTCTGTCTCTCTGTCTCTCTCTGTCTCTCTCTCTCTCCCTCCTGTCTCAGTTTGTGCCACGAAATTATGATATCAAAGACAACAAACACAGCGGCACAAAAGTTGAAAAAGCACGATTTGTGTATTTGATATTTTTCGCACAAAAAGCCCATCCGGGCCCCGCAAATGTGCCCTTAGCATTTTGGTGCGTCTTGGAGCGTGTGTCTAGAGAAGATCAAACCTTGTTATCTAATGACTCTCGCTAACCCGTACGTTACACGTTACAGGTGTTACAGGGCAGTAAGGACGGCACGGCAGTCACAACTCTCCAGCTGCCTAAAGCCATCACCGGGCAGTACATCCGCATCATCCCCGTCAGCTGGGGCACCGGCGGCATCGGGCTCAGGACCGAGGTCTACATCACTGCCGGTAAGTACAATACATTTTTGCACTCTCGTCATTGTCGACACACTTCGTGGTCAGTAGTTGTTGTTGCATATGTCTACAACTTAGAAGGAGACGATTCATAAAAAGCCACAGCTCATCAGGATATCGAGTTGGCCATTGTCAGCATACCGTTCACTGTATTACCACTTACAAGACCTACTTTAATATCATAGAATAAAACACCTAGTCTCCGGGTCACAGATCGCAGCACACTAATCCCTCTGTACTTTTAGTTTGCACAGTACAAACAGAAGACATCTTGTGTGAGACTTGTTTATATTTAATGACCAGAAAATAATATGAAATGCCACTAATAAGAAGGCAGGCTTGAGTAAGATACGTAAGATGGCATCTTATCTTTTTTTTATATTTCCAGCTGCTGCTGCAAGCTACAGGCCGACATTTAAAATCGTCCAGAAGTCGAGTGAGTAGCTTATTTGACACTGGAATCACCATAAAGAGATAATAGAGATTTAAACGTGTCTTGTTGTATTCCTCCCCATTTCTTAACAATGGCTTAACGCTTAAAGATGTTATAGCAAACCTTAGACAAATCTCTTGAATGCACCTCACTCTTACTTGAAGCTTATCTGCACTACCAGGATAGCTAGATTAATTGAGGCACTGCCTTAGCATGCAATTTCTAAAGAATGTCCTTTCCTGGGATGCTTGAGACGAACCCTTAACTACATGTCACGTTGATACGATATTAATAATAGTATCTTCATACTTTTTACACAATTATTTTCTCCCCTTATACAGCACAAACCCAAACCAAAACCACACGTAAGTTGCATTATTATATTTGTTGTTTTAAGCCTGAATTTGATTAGATTGCCTCAAAACTATTTTTCCTCCAAGTTTAATTTGCTTGTTACCTATACTGAGGTAATGTCTGTGGCTTGTTTGTTTCTTTGTTTGTTTGTTTGTTTGTTTGAAGTGTGAGGTCAACACTGGCTATTTACATCAGGGCCCATCCCCTGTCGTCACTCCACCGCGACGGGGGTCGACATTGTCTACCAGATACCTTTGACCTAGTGTTGACGATGAAATCTCTAACTGCTTGTCTGCGTTTCCTTTTTCAAGATTCAAGATTCAAGATAATTGAGCTATCGCAGTGAAAATATCACTGAATTGCAGTCAATTTACAGACAATTTGTTTTTAAAACGCTCACAAAGACATATAATATTGCACATAATTCTGAATCCTTAGGTTACGAATACTTGTTTGCAGGGAAGTATATTACTGCTCGTAAGACTAAGACCTTTTAGTTACAGCATAAAAACGTTTAAAAAATGTTTAATTTTGCCAGAACTGGCAGCGATCCTTGCGGCCATCCCGCCCCAGGCCCTGCCGATCGTGCTGAAGGCCTCCTCAGAGCTGGACGCCGAACACGCCGCCATCAAGGCCCGGCTCAGCAGCGGGTCTTTCTGGGCCTCGGCTACTAATGACCAAGAACAGTACCTGCAGGTAAGACCGAAACTCATGATTAGCCCCAACCGATTGTAACTTACACTTTCAAATAGCTCTGTTAGCATTTCATTTAACATTTTAATGTCTTGGGGTGGTGGGACTACGGCGCACAGATATGTCAACTTTGTATATTTAAATGTTAATTGTACCTTTTTTTGTTGTGTGGCGCTGTTAATATAAGTTGTTAACTTGAGTGCAGCGTCACACTGTCCTTATTATGTCTTTATGTTTTGATGAATAAAAAAAACACTATATCATTAAAGACCTATGCTAGCCTTTCTTGTCTTATTATATTCATTAAATATGATTTGGATATCAAGTTTGATTCTATACGTCGTTTTTTCTATGTTCAATAGTTGTTGTCACACATTGTGTACAATTACCTTGCCATAAACTTATTCTTTACTTGTTTTGTTTTTTTCCTTATTTCAAATCGATAACGTAAAATGTAACATACTATATTTAACACACAGAATGTAATTAGACATAGAAATGGTTGTACCCAGTTCAAGACAATCTTAGTATCAACCAAATAAAAACCTTTTTCTGATTTACTATTAAGAAAGGATCTTTGTTTAAGTACTAAGAAATGATTATGTTCATTTTGTTTTTAGATCAACCTCGGCCAGAGCACACAGATCGCTGCCCTGGGCCTGCAGGGCGGAGAAGGCCGCTGGGTGGCGACTTTCAAGATCCAGTTTAGCGCTGACGGAGAGACCTGGACCGACTACAAGGCCGGCAAAGAGGCGGCCGTGGTGAGTTACATGCACTATTCTGTAACGGTTTGGTGGTTCTAGCACTAGCCGTTCAGACGCTATCTGACATCAAAGTTGGTTTATTTTATACTTATGCATAATAAATAAAACTGTGACCACACAGGTTATTGAAGGAAACAAGGACGCCTCTGCGGTGGTGACCATGCAGCTTCCCCAGCCCATCACTGCTCAGTACCTCCGCATCATCCCTGTCACCTGGGGGGAGGGCGGCATCGGGCTCAGGCTGGAGGTCTACATCACTGCAGGTATGCATCTATAGTTCTTATAGGTGAATAATAAAAAAGGTGGTCGGTTATTAGAATAACCGACCACTTTTGCGACCACATCATCCCTGTCACCTGGAGGGAGGGAGGCATCGGCCTCAGGCCGGAGGTCTACGTATGCAGGTAAGGATACCAATCTACTACACTTATACTGAGTTCTTTATGGCAAGTTCATGCCCGAGGGCTAATTGCAAACAGACATTGACAATGGGTACAGAATGTAGTGATATACAACTATATGCTAATAACATGAAGTTATACGTATACGATCTACTTAGTTAACTTACTATCTCTACTTAAAATTAATAACTTTGGTATACAGGATAAAGAGTGGATATGCAATACATAAACAGGCAAGAGAAACATGGTAACTGCTGTTCTATTCTATCATACTATTCCAGCCAAGCTATATACTTACCACTGTGACACACACACAGTTGGGGCATCATCACTAGAAAGAACCCCTTGCAGTTAGATGTGCAGATATTAAGTGTAACAGGTCGTTCGGTGTAATATAGCTAGCTGCCACCAAGCCGCGTGCCTGCAAAGCTTGTGTGTTACACCGAATGGCGGTTATACTGGCTATGCAGTTAGAGCAGACTTGATACAGGTACAGATTGATGGTTAACCTGCAAATTCATATCTGTCTCTCCAGCTGCAGCCGCAAGCTACAGACCAACCTTCCAAATCAGCAAGACACAGACCCAGACCCAGACCAAAACCACACGTAAGTTGCATTATTATATTTATTGTTTTAAGCCTGAATATGATTAGATTACCTCAAAACTATTTTCCTCGCATGAATAGTATCATAAACTGCTGTCACCTTAAGTGTTACCACGGTCTAGCTGGTGGTGTTTGTCCCTTCCCCAAGTTTAATTTGCTTGTTACATGTACTGAGGTAATGTTTGTGGCTTGTTTGTTTGTTTCTTTGTTTGCTGTTTCTCCAATGAGACTTGTCACGTGGCTTCTTTGAAGTGTGAGGTCAACACTGGCTATTTACATCAGGTCCCATCACGTGTCGTCACTCAACCGCGACGGGGGCCGACATTGTCTACAAGATACCTTTGGATTTGACCCAGTGTTGATGTAGAAATTTCTAATTCCTTGTGCATTTCTTTTTTAACAGAACTGGCAGCGATCCTTGCGGCCATCCCGCCCCAGGCCCTGCCGATCGTGCTGAAGGCCTCCTCAGAGCTGGACGCCGAACACGCCGCCATCAAGGCCCGGCTCAGCAGCGGGTCTTTCTGGGCCTCGGCTACTAATGACCAAGAGCAGTACTTGCAGGTACGATTCATTTGTTGTTTTTCGTCATTTCAGTTTGATGGCATTAAAGCTAACTATACTGTATTAACATACAGAATCTAAGTACGATATGTTGTAGCCAGGTCTAAGACATTATTGGGATCAACAAAATAGAAACTTTTTACTGATTTACTAAGACAAAGACCAATATTTGAAGGTACGATGTATTTATATTTCAGTTTTGCACCATAAAAATTTGGACTAATTACTAAAGCAAGGATGGCTGAGTTTTCAGTAATCTCCACCAGCTAGACTAATACCACGATTTCAAAAGCAGTATTGGTTAATATTTTGGCCTAAGTCTCCTATCCAAACCCCATTAGGACGCCTGATGGAGGCTAGTTTGTTTAGGACCGCATCAATCTTATAAATTATTTTTATTCTTTTATTAGGTCAACCTCGGCCAGAGCACACAGATCGCTGCTCTGGGCCTGCAGGGCGGAGAAGGCCGCTGGGTGGCGACTTTCAAGATCCAGTTCAGCGCGGACGGAGAGACGTGGACCGACTACAAGGCCGGCAAAGAGGCGGCCGTGGTGAGTCGCTCTTCTGTTTCAGTTAAACAATAAAATATTTTCTTCAGTCGTAAGTGTTCGCATCATTTGTTGAAGGTTTGAGATCATGGAACTCTAGTTATAGATTGTATTTACATAACATCTGGTAACACCGATGTCCTGTAAGTTTTAAATTTAATAGTAGTGACTGAAAGACACATGAAGGGACACTTGACTCAGTGAAATTTAGGTTAGGACAACGAGCATGCTGATGCATTTACTACTTTCTGTCAATGTTTCTTTTACCGATGCAGTCGGATTCCATTTTTGGCATAAGCCTCGAAACTGCAGCTTTCTGAACTTTAAGTACTCTATACTTGTCAACAATTCTTGGTGCTAGCTTACTTATAATCTCCAAGTAGAGCTTTCGGCGGCCGCAAAAGACATTTTCAAATTGGCCAGGCAGAATCCAAGACAGGCTGTATCCATTGGCTAATAATGGACAGTCCTCTGGCCAGATTGGATACTAGGTCTTGCCATCGTATGATCTGCTTGGAAATTAACTTACTTATTATACGGCCTGAACATTGTGACCACACAGGTTATTGAAGGGAACACAGACGCCTCTGCGGTGGTTACCCAGCCGGCCCATCACGGCTATGATACGAAATTGTCCCCAACTTTACGCCAAGTCACCAAGTTTGGTGGTTCTAGCGCACGCCGTTCCGACGCTATCTGACATCAAAGTTGGCGCGGGCACTTTTAGCATGTCTTGATAGGATTTATCTTATACTTATGCCCTTAAAATTGTGACCACGCAGGTTATTGAAGGAAACAAGGACGCCTCTGCGGTGGTGACCATGCAGCTTCCCCAGCCCATCACTGCTCAGTACCTCCGCATCATCCCTGTCACCTGGGGGGAGGGCGGCATCGGGCTCAGGCTGGAGGTCTACATCACTGCAGGTAAGGGCTTATAGTAATCTCCAAGCAGATCCTAGAGTGGCAAAAAGACAATATCAAACTGGCCAGGCAGAATCCATTGGCCAGAGTGGGTTCAATTGGCCACCCAAGGTGGGAGTAGCGACAAAAAAGGGCCATATATAAAAGGTAACAATCTTCCCCCATCAACCTCTGTTTGGAGTTATAGTTCTTATAGGTGAATAATGAAAAACGTGGTCAGTTATTAGAATAACCGACCACTGTTTCGACCTTACCATTAACGACCTTACCAATAACGGGATTATTTCACCATGGACACCTCGGGGTGGGGCATTAAACCTTTCCTTTATCATTGCCAGTGTATATGACTGCATTGTTACTAGGTTGATGGTTAACCTGTGGGTTCATATCTGTCTCTCCAGCTGCAGCCGCAAGCTACAGACCAACCTTCCAAGTCAGCCAGACACAGACCAAGACTAAGTCCTCATCCAAACGTAAGTCACTATTGGCATTTTTATAGGTCTTCGCGAAAAGGTATGTTTTAACCATGTATGTGCGTTCGCATATAATTCACGTTTGGCAAATTTGTTTGGTTCTCGGTATATGGTTACATGTGGTTATTTATTAGGGCACAGGTGGAGTTTTTTTCCGAAGTTGTATATGTATTTGAAGGTATTGAATTAAAACCATTTGGCACCCCCGCCTGTGTGTGATGTGGTATCGTCTACTATTAACAGCTTTTGTCCACTGTATAGTGGAACTAATGGGCTATACCATACTACTTTCCCGGGGGGGTTATGAGCCTGTATTTTGTATTATAATTGCGATACCATCCATCTTTTTAAGTAACGTAACGTAAGTTGCAACATTGCTGTTACTGTGATTTCTGAAAACATGTCTACAGACATTGTGAATATTATGTATTGTAAACTAGACGAAAGTTTGAAATCCCAGTTTTACACAATTTAAATATGCATATGTGCAGTGTGCTTCCTGTTTTCTGACTGAGTATTTCACTTCTTGTGCCACAGAGCTTGATTGTGCACAATGGTCCACCTGGCTGGAGGCCATGAAGGCCCACCCTCAGTTTGCAGTGATCATGAAAACGTGTGCACGTAAGAACATCATCTTTACTATATCATATTCACAAAGGTATTTTATATGATAGAGAAAAATACACCATTTCACTATGTGTAACGTTACATATATATACAGAGGAATCCAGTGTATACATAGACATTCGCAAATGCGGCTTCCTTAGTCGCCACGGCTATCTTCGTGCACTACATGTTTTTGTGCAAACATGCCTGTCCTTGGTGCTGAACGCCATCCACACAATAACATTATAAGTTTCTGTTTCAGTTCGTTCCCGTTAAACTTTGTTTTGTTTTCGTTCTCAGCGCTGACCTGCAAGGACGCTGCCTTCCTGAAAACTGAGCTGGCCGCAACATACTGCAAGAGTAAGTCAAACAAAATATATCCCCACAACAATTAATTAATTAGGTTAAGCATTATGAAAATGTAGATATTATGTACTTAGTAGATGCCATACTTTGTACCCTGTACAACTGTTATGCAATCTGTCACATTAATCGGAGCATATCAAGGGACTCGAACCCAGTATTCGAACTGAGTATTCGAACTGGGTATTCGAACCCGGTATTCTAACCCAGCATTCGAACTCGGCATTCGAAGACAGTATTCGAACTGGGTATTCGAACCCAGTATTCGAACTGGGTATTAATTCGAACCCAGTATTGAACCTAGTATTCGAAGTTCGAACCTAGTATAGAACCCAGTATTCGAACCCAGTATTCCAACCCACTATCAATGGGTTCTGCACCAAATGCCGCACAGGTTCAACCGCCACCTCCGCTGCATCGTAAGAGGTTAGTAGTTGGGCAAGTAATTATGCAATCACCGGCTTGAACAATTCTTTTTCTTGAAGACTGATTCCTCCTTGCATGTCTTCTCCCAGGTAAGCGTGTTCAGGAAGAGGTGGAGCTAGAAGCCGACAGCGAGGGCCTGACGGCTACTGTGGACGACGTGGATGAAGAACTGGAGGAGAAACTGGGGCTTCTGAACAAGATCAGCAGCATGAGGAGCACCCTGCAGCAGCTCCTCCAGCGAGCTCGCGGAGTGGTCGGCATGTAGCGCCACCTGGCGACTTGATATTGCACCGCACCATTACCTATCTAATAGTGCAATGCTGTCACTCAAGTTGAAAAAGCAACTTTAATACGATTTGTTTAAGTATTCGGTGAATATGTATTTTTTTCTAGTTTAAGTAATAAAGATTTAAGAACAATATTGACAATGCGAGAAACAGTGTATCTTTAAGATCCTTTCATCTTTAAGATTCTTTTATCTTTAAGATGATATGCAGCGTCTTGTCATTCGTCATAAATAATTCTAACTTATTAAATATGCTGTTCTGTACTTGTGGCTTCTTGACTTAAGCTTCGATTCGGAATATAAGTGTCTTCTGATTTTCGCTGCATATAGGGATAGGTTTCAGAGTAGTACAGAACTGATCTTACATATATTTAAAATGATAGCCGGACGAAAGGTGCTTTATGAACATTAGCATTAAACTATAGCATGCCATTAGGACGGTAGTACTTTGTCACTATAGCTTAACTTCTCTAGTTAGAAATAAGTTTTACATAGTTTGGTGAAAATAAGGTGTCACAGAAGGAAATGTAGGTTTGCACAAATAGACTGTGTGTATGCCCATAGGACGTGTGTAACAAGGACTGATATACCACAACGTTGTTATGTTCAGTTTCTTTTTATTATTTGGCAAGGCATGGAATGAGAAAAGTAGGCAGTACTAACAAAAGAACTGAGGATGAGTTGCAAACATAATGAGTTGATAAAATCTTGACTGTAAGACTGTGGTACCAAATAAAATGTGGGGATGGAAAAAACTGTGTTTCTGTCTTCCTTGTTTGATGATGATGATGGCTGGTTTATTCATAAACAAAATATTTTATACAGGTTAAAAGTCTTGGCAGCCTTACGGCTGAATTGTATACGTAGACTTCTTACAACTTAGAAGCTTTAAGAATATTTTGAATTCAGACTATCGATTTACAATACAATATACATATTAAAAAATCAACGGTACAGTAAAACTGATCGTCCAGTATAACATCTGGTATGTTACATGTATACAACTCAAGGTCTGAAAACGTACAGGCTTTCATCAGTAAACAACTTAGTCGTATAATACTAGCAGATGGAGCTCTGTAAATCTTACAGTTCTAGGTCTGTACGTCTGTAGCTGGTTACTGGACCTAGTCTTATCTTCGGGTCCGCCGGTAATACGACGCGAGGCCCAGAACTGCCGGACTTGCTTATCTGTAGTGGGAACGGGCCAATCGCGAAGGTTCAGCTGTCTTGGTAATCTCCAAGCAGGTCCTAGGGTGGCAAAAGACAGTATCAAATTTGCCAGGCAGTATCCATTGGCCAGAAAGGGTCCAATGCGCCACCCTTGGACACTGCACATGCCTGGCCAATTTGATACTGTCTTTTGCCACTCTAGGATCTGCTTGGAGATTAGGGCTTATCACTATGTGGTGACCACTAGCCTTGGGCGCTCACCACGTGTCCCAGATACTTGACTGACCTGACGCCCGAAACAGGTGGCACTTGTCTGGCCTCAATATTTCAACCCACAGTCCTGCTTCAAGTACGTGAACACAAGGTCGAGTCGGTCTACGTGTAAGGAGGTCGCCCTATCACTATAACTGTCGTTGCAAGAAGGGGGAGTTGGAGCGGGGTGAGGCCTTCGCCGAGTCGTCGAAATATTGGAGAAGGAGCAGAACGGAGCCCTGGGGACATAAGACCTACACAACTACCTGGGAACGTACAGCACGGGACGCCGAGACAGCCCTGTTCCGAACCCGGACCCCAGGTCCCACCCGATGGAGGCCTTCGTCTCGTCATGTCGGGAGCATTCCTGCTTCGAGCCTTCGCCGCGTCGTCAAAATATTGGAGAAGGAGCAGGAAGGAGCCCTGGAGACAAAAGAGCTACACAACTACCTGTGGACGCACGGCCCGGGACAGCCCTGTTCTGGAGCCGGATCCCAGGTCCCGTCCGATGGAGCCTTCGCCGCGTCGCCGAAATATTGGAGAAGGAGCAGGAAGGAGAACCGGAGACAAAGGACCTACACAACTACCTGTGGGAGTACGGCCCGGGACGCCGAGACCGCCCTGTTCCGAACCCAGTATCGAACCTAGTATTCGAACCCAGTATTCGAACCCAGTATTCGAACCCAGTATTCGAACCTAGTATTCGAACTGGGTATTCGAACCCAGTATCAAAGCTAGTATTCGAGCCGGATCCCAGGTCCCACCCATTATGGAAGCCTTCGTGTCGTCATGTCGCGTGCATCCCCGCTTCGACATTGTGCAGGCGATCATGGGCCTGCGGTGGCGGGTCGGCCATCTACAGACGATCGTGTCTACTCAACTTTTTATATATATATATAATGTGCTATAGTGAGCAATACCCACTGAATGTACATGGTACATCCTTTATGGTAAGAATACAGTTTAGTGGGCAGTCAATGGCTCACAGCTGCCAAGTGTTCTCAATTACAATGAAGGAGATGTCGGTGGACTCCGACTTTGAAGGACTGCAGGCTGTTGTTGATGGTACCCACAACGGTTTCTGGGAGTTGGTTCCAGATCTGAACTCCAGTGTGGATGAAGGTCCGGCCGGTGGAACTGGATCTGGATACCGGTTGTGCAAGTGCGTGGGATGGCATAGCAAGGCTCAGTTCTGGTTGTACGCGACCAGAAGGCTAGTTCTGGTTGTACTAGTCCGGGACAAACTGATCGAACTCAACGGGAACAAACACGACGTCCTACACTGAGGCATGGGCACGTACTTCGTCGGTTGGGACGAGCCTCTGGAACGGCGGCCTGAACTTGTAGCATTCCCCGCTGGGAAGTACCCCTACTGCTGAAAGGTATCCAAGGACTTGAATGAGTGTGTATGTGTGGACATTAACATGTGGATAGAATACAAATAGCCGTTACCGTTCCCAAGATAGGCTGAAGAGGTATGTGCCACAAATCCAATGGAGTAGACCCACCAAGGTATTTTTTTTCGTTATCTAGAATCTCAGTAAGTTTATAAATCCAGCAAAAGGGTAAACAGAATTGGAATTGTATCAATCTAGCCGAATATTGAGTTCCAAATTGTAGCGGGTAGCCGGGGTTTTAAGTGGGTGACCCCCAGGGAGTTGACCCTTAGCGTTGGCCAGCTACTAGTATATCTCTAGAACCCTGAGTGCAGGTGGTGCCGTCACCACTGTTCTACAACTGAGTCGAGGAAGACGAATGATGTTCCCTTTCTTGGGGAGTAAGATGTGTTTTCCTTTTGATGATAACCGTGGTTTGCTATCATTTACATCCTTGATTCCCAGCAAGGGTGGATGTAAGGAGCCCGCCCTGTCACTATAATTGGCACTGACGGCAGGCCACCGAACTGTAGAGTGACGTATCTATAGACTATAATAAGCACAACGCGACTAACAACCTGTGTATCTCGTCCTTGGGCCGGTAGTACATGTTACCAGATATTGAAACAGTCTCTGATAAGGCCTAGATCCAGCAGTGACCTTTATTATGATCTTTCACACCCCGAGAGTGTCAATTAGTTATTAGTTAGTGTAGCGGAAACCACAAAGTGTCACTTTTTGTAAAAAAAATATACTTTTATGCTGAAAATGGGTGGAAAACTGCGACACTTCTTTAACTTTTTACCCAAATAGCCTCTACCAGGCATCAGACACGTTGAAAAAAAGTAGAAATTGGCCAAATAACATGCCAGGGGAGCGGGTCCGCTAAAGGAGCACAGTTGACCGCTTCCCTATAGCATGTTATCTGTTTATTTAGCCAATTCTTTGTCCCTTTTGAAGTGTGGTAGAGGTTCTAGTAGGGACTGTTGTATCACATTGACAGGTGGTTTACTGAACTTCAAGGTCCCGCGCTCTGAATTCGAACACAATCCCATCACCCCCTGCGATCACCCTGGCGACGGACTCATCTTCACCCAATCGTGTGACGTCAGGTCTTAGGAGCCTCGTAAGCAGACCTTTTCTAGCGGCTTCCGTTTCAGTTCAATGAGCGCTATTTTGCTGCGGTTTCTTTTCTGATCTGGGAGAGAGCTGTATTGGAGAATGGCTTTGGCTGTAGCTACTGTCTAAGCAGTGGTTTGGGGCTTTGGGCTTAGGTTTATTTTGTGTGTTTATGGGCTTTTTTAACGGGATTTCTTTTTTGTATTGGTATTATTTTATACGCGTTGGGTTGGCGTAAAGATAGACAAGTTAGAGCCCGATGAAAAAAGTCTAAAAACACACCAAAAACAAGCCAAAGCCCAAACCGGAAAGGAAAAACAAAGAAGAAACAAACGGTAGCCGCAAGAAAATGTCTGCGTACGAGGCTATCATCTTGGCAGGTTTCCCGTGCCGGAGCGATGTAAGGTCACGAGGGGTCAGAGGTTACCTGCCATACCCCCATGATTCCGTGTGACGACAGAAATCAGCACAGCCCCAGGCCAGACGGGCTATGCAAGGTTAATCAGGCTGGCAGACTGTGCCATTGTGCAAGGGAGGGGTGGCGAGCACGGTAGATCGATATGAAAGAACATAATGCCTAAAAGTGAAAGAAAAAGGAAACGCTGGAATGTTTAAACGACGGGAAGAGTTAGACCGTGCTTTCTTGCGTTCTATCGTGTGAAAGCAGTTGACAAGGCAAGGGCCGTACAATGAGACCGCCTTCTTCGTTTAATTGAACGGCATTCGAGTTTTAATCTTAAAATATTACCATTGTGCTAGTAACTTGTCTCTTTCTCCTATTCTCTCCTTCTGTCTTTTGACGGTTTGTTCGATTAAGATGTGAGATTTTCATCAAAGGCACCTAAAACTAAGAAACCAAGAAATACATTGTACCTACTGAATGTACATCGAGTGTCCCCTCTGTCTACAATGAGGAATATTGCACCGGTAACTGTTTATAAATGTGACTCATCAAAACGTCGTTTAATACAGATAAAAGAATCATCAAACCCGGTATTCCCGTAACCCCCATGTCGGCCCCCGGTGACGTCACGTGGTGACGGCCCATGGCGCTTCCGTACGTCTGATCGGGGCACCGCCTACTTTGTCTGACAGCAGAAGAACCAGTTTTGGAGCAGCCTGTCAGCGCGTCACCCCTTTCGCGTCCATAGGAGACGCCATTGTTGCTTACCTTTTTGGCACAAAGGTCGAGCGAGCGCGGTCTTGACTCCTCTTTCCTTACGAATCCTTCAGAACTGGAGACTACAACGTCATCCTTACCAAGGAGCAGCCAAGATGGCGAAGGAACTGAATTATGACGATATCGCGCAGTGTAAGTAGTACCTGGTGTGTGTTTTTTTTCGCTGTGCCACTTTCACGAGTGGCTGATACGCGCTGCTGGCGGCTACAATTTTGCAGGGAGGGACGCCAATTTGGGCGCTAGGAATGCTAGGATGGTATGCCGTAAAAATCCATGTACGGGGACGGCAAAAAATCATCGCGATTGGTGCCACACTGTACCGAGAATTTCAGCTTGCTTTGTCAAAAACAAGAAGCTGCGTCTGTAGCTCTTGGAAATTAGAATTCTGGCAGTGATGTTGCGGGTTCACCAGGGGAAATCGCGAATTCGAACCGGCCTTTTAAAAAATGAGATTTAGCGCAGCGTTGCTTCTGTTTTGGGGCATGCAACGTCTGGCCATAACCCACGCCGCTTGCCTTTGTGATACACTTAGTAACGCTCCGAGGATTCGTGAGCTCGAAGAACAACAACACCTTAGGCTGGTTACGTGATAGGTTGAAGGTTAACGGCTAGCCTCCATAGCATGCCAAAAACTGGGGGTTTAGGGGGTCTTTAGGATCTTTGGGATCTTTTATGTGTTTTTTTCTGATTGCATATACTATTAGACAACATAGCCGGCCTGGTTGAATTACCCCCGTTAGAACTGGGCTGATCAGAAAACAGCCGAAGATCACAAAACCCCCAGTTCTATAAGCCTGCTACGGAGGCTAGTTACCGGCACAGTCTGGTGTGCTAGCTGTGCCGGGTTGGGCTTTTATTTGTGTGCCGGCCGAAAATTCCTGGCGATCTAGATCTACATTATTCTCCAAGCAGAGGTTGTGAGGGAATGATCGTTACCTTTTTATATATGGCCGTTTTTTGTCGCTACACGTCGGTAACCGGCGACCTTCTCTGGCTAATGGATAACTGCCTGGCCAATTTGATACTGTCTTTTTGCCACCGAAAGGGATCTGCTTGGAGATTAGCGATCTAGATCTACATAGTGGTATTCGGCGCTGCGCTATCAAAAAATCCATACCGGCGTTTATGAAAAACATCGTAAAGCATGCTAGAAATCGTTTCTAACGTCAGGCAAAAAATAACCTACATACTAGTAGTGTCCGAGAAATTGTCTGTAGATGTATTACATGCACCTGGATTTGATCTAAGTAGAGTTTCACCCTGTCCTGCATTGTAGGTTGTGAGACCATCGAAAATGCATATCGGCGCTTGAAAACATTGTAAAGCACGCTTGAAATCGTTTTTAACGTCCGACAAAATAACCTACATAGCGTCCGAGAAATTGTCTGTAGATGTGTTGCACCTGGATGTGATTTACGGTAGGGCAGAGTTTCTCCCTGTCCTGGATTGTAGGGTGTGAGACCATCGAAAATATATATCGGCACTGGAAAACATACTAAAGACAACGCTTTAATTTATTTCTAACGTCCGACAAAATGCCTACACAGCGTCCGAGTTTATAGCGTCCGAGAAATTGTCTGCAGATGTATTGCACCTGGGTTTGATCTAAGTAGGGCACTGAGTTTTCCCCCGTCCTGGATTGTAGGGTGAGGCTTACGGGGTCACGGAACTGATCAGATCGCCAGGCTATGGGCGTTATCCTCGCATTAATGTTGAATCACCTGCTTTGGCTTTCTCCCAGCGTAGCTAGTGGGGAGGGTAGCTATATGTAGTCTCCACCAGACTCCTTTTGCAGGTCGAATAAATCGTAGAAATCGGCGTAAAAAGGGTATTTAAATTGGTCAAATAAGTATAGCCGGCCATAGAGAGTCCAGCGGCCTGCAGGCTACCTTCTCTGGCCAATTTAAACACCTTTTTTTATGCCGATTTCTACGATTTATTCAGCCTGCAAAAGGAGTCTGGTGGAGACTAGGGGAGGGAGTCTAGTCCCTAATATGTAGGCTACGTGCGCGCTGGTTTCGTGCATGCTGTAGGGTGTTTTGTATTTTTATCATCTTGGCTAAGAAGGTTATGTTTTCGGTCGTGTTTGTTTGTTTGTTTGTGTGTGTGTGTGTGTGTGTGTGTGTGTGTGTGTGTGTGTGTGTGTGTGTCTTTCTCTCTCTCTCTCTCTCTCTCTCTGTGTGTGTGTGTGTGTTTGTGTGTCTGTGTCTGTGTGTGTCCGTCTGGCAACACGATAACTCGACAAGGCGCTTACATGGATTGTCTTGATTTTTGACATGTGCTTAGATCTTGATGACCTAGAAATGATTAGATTTTTGGCACCCTAGTTCATCTTTGACTTCGTTTGCTGCTTATGAACTATTTTCTAATTGCTACCTTCGGGTGACTTCCAGTTTCTACAATTTATGTATGAAGGACATATAGATATTGGGCTCTTCGCATTCAGTCCTGATATTGCCTTCCATATCTATATACCAAATCCAATGATATCTCTCAATCGTCGATATGAGGTTGGCTCGGAAATCTGTAGAAAACAATTATCTAAAAATCAATGCACCAACCAAGCATCAGTGTTACGTCGATGAAGGTTAGACATCCAGCCAATAAGATACGCCAAAAAACAGTTAATCGAGCAAACCGGATATGATTTTGGAAACGGCCAGACGTTTCAAGCATCAGTGTTGTCAGCACTCAGTCTCATGGCTTATCGGTGTAACAATAACACAACATGTGTTACAATATATATAGTAGTTTTATCTTGGAGTTGTATATGTATGAACAACGCGCTTCCTGTTCTTTGTCTGTGTTTCTGTCAATGCTTTCACGAAATCATTTCAGCTAGATCAATAAACCAACTGCATGTTGTGGTGCGCTCAGTACACGACAAAGCCCACATGTTACAAAGTCTTAAATTTTTGCGTGGGAGGTTTTACGATTCTCCTTGCTGCTTGACGGTTTACAAGTTACATAGCGCAGCTGTGACGGTTGTACTGTGTGAATGTATTTAGAACGACATGGAAATACTTTCTGTGGAAAATTCCGGTATATGATGCAGAAAAATCTGATTTTTTTTATTTTATTAGAATTGTAGCAATGCAAGACACGTGGGACACAGACAAATATTCCTGGTGCAGTGACCCACAAAAATAAGCAATATGGCAGATAACACATAGCGAGACATATTTGGAATAGAATCAGCCCCTGCAAATCACAACAAATCTGATCTAATATATATATTGTACCTACTGAATGGGGTGTTTTGCCGGTGCCAGTCCTACTAAGCATGGACTAATCTTTCAAGTCAATCTTTTCAATTACTGAATCAACTTAAACTACTTGTTCTAAGGCTAAACATTCTTTGATATATTTACCTATTTGTACACAGTGAGGGTTATTACCCTCTAGAATGAGATTGAATTTATCTATAGCTAGCATGAATTCGAAATGTAACAAATTCCGTTGAGCAAGCAGAGAGAAGGTTGAACAGCTTTGTGCGTTTAGTATGGTTGCCAGGCTGGTACCTATAGCTTCAACAATTAGCTAATCTCCAAGCAGATCCCTTTCGGTGGCAAAAAGACAGTATCAAATTGGCCAGGCAGTATCCATTAGCCAGAGAAGCTCCGCGGCCACCGACGGTGGGGATCAGGACAAAAAAAAACGGCCATATATAAAAAGCTAACGATCATTCCCCACAACCTCTGCTTGGAGAGTAACAATTAGCCCCAACAATGGCAGGTTGTCTGTTGGCATTCCAAGCATTTCTCCCACCTTCCCCTGGGCTTCGCGATTAGACAACAATGTTTACCTGCATGTCAAAACATTCTCGTAAAACCTGCGGAAAAATTCTCGTGAAACCACGAATAACTAGAATTCTTATTGTTTGTCCCAGATATTTTTGCCATGCGTGATTTGCCATATACAAGTCTGTCAAATTCTATACATTCTATCAAGAACTTTTAGTAATACAATAATGTCCTTGGTTCTACACACAGACTGGATTTCTGTCAATGGATTCAGATTGCAAATTTAAGGACATACATATTGACATGTGACAACTCAAGCATTGTATATATGCAGTCTGTATCTCGCTTCTACATGTATATCGTGAATCTACATGGTATTATCTTGTTAAGAAAATAATACAGGATTAGGTATTCAAAAGATGAAACAAACACTAGTTATATAAATGAATTCTGCGAGTGTTTCATGAATTGTAATTATCATCTGCAGTTTGTATCGCTCGCACATGTATATCGTGAATCTACATGGTATTATCTCGTTCTGATACTAATATAGGATTAGGTATTCAACAAAGAAACAAATAACGTTACAGTATTAATTGTAAATAAATTCTGCTAGTGTTCTATGAATTGTACATATCATATGCAGTTTGTATCGCCCGTACATGTACATCGTGAATCTACATGCCTTTATCTTGTCATGATGATAATATAGGATTAGGTATTTAACAGTGGAAGCAAATACTAATTGTAAATGAATCCTGCGAGTTTTTTTCATGAATTTTCATTTCTCGTTAATTAAGATGTTAAAAAAACTGTCTGCTGTTATGTACCGCCACGTGCTGCGATATCGCTTGTACATTTAGATCGTGGCATTATTTTATTATTGATAATAGATGATTAGGTATTCAACAGTGTAAACAAATACTAGTTATATAAATGAATTCTGCGAGTGATTCATGAATTTTCATTTCACGTAAAGGAGGTGTTTTCCTGAAAACTCGCACACCGACTGTTGCACTGGCCATGTGCTGCGATTCTGATTTGGCGTAAATCGATAAACAATTCTCCACCGATGTCTCTCCACGCGTAAACCCGCACGTAACGCTGGGATAATGGACTCACAGCACGTTCTGTTCTGTACCGCGGGGTCGGAATGGGAGTTTAGTGGAGATAAATGCTGCCGGGTTGGCGTACAGCTATTGTGTGCCTTTATCTGTACACATGCGTTTAACTTTGCGTCTGTTCATACACATATACATGTATGTATGTATGCATGTATGTATGATGTATCTATCTATCTCTCTTTCTCGCTATCAAAAGCTATCTACGAAACTGTCTACCTGACTTCTTTCTATCTGTCATCTGATAAACAGATATTTCTCTGAGTCTTCTTCTTTCTCTCTATGTGTGTTTTGTGCGTGTACGTGTATGTGTGTGTGTGTGTGTGTGTGTGTGTGTGTGTTTGTGTATGTGTGTGTGTGTGTGTGTGTGTGTGTGTGTGTGTGTGTGTGTGTGTGTGTGTGTGTGTGTGTGTGTGTGTGTGTGTGTGTGTGTGTGTGTGTGTGTGTGTGTGTGTGTGTGTGTGTGAAGAGAAAGAGCCTGAAAGAGGTTGATTTCAATTTTACGCAAAATACACGAGCAGCATTCCCACTTCCCCCACACTCCTCCGTGGGGAGTTTGTGGATAGAGTCTGCAGCGCGAATGACTTTGACAGTTGACCCCAAACTTCCAATTATCAAATAGCTGACCCAGTATGCGTGACCCTGTCCGCACTAGATATGGTGTGTTATGGGCCCTCTCAACTGGAGGCCGATCCTGAGAGACCAAAATTGAATTTGTGTGCCCGATAGGTTTTGTCATTGGAATATATGCACAATGCAGTAATATTATTTTCAAACAGTAAATACAGAAAACGCAAAAAAATGTATGTACATCTTATTGTATGGAATTAGTTGAGCTAGAAATTTGTGGTCACTCAGAGTTGGAAAAGGAGCGTCATTTGCCATATTGCATAGCATTACTTCATTCAACCTTTAAGTTAATTTCTCCATTGCCTCTGAAATATATTGTAGAATGTTAAATTATCTTGAACTATTTTCGATAATCTTCAACTTCAAACCAATCGTTGTCTATACGCCGAATTTTGTGTGCATTACAAGATATTGATGAATATTGTCTTACGTTTTGTCACTGAGGATATCTTAATTTGCCAAGCGTGATTTGCGTAATTAATTGTGAAGCTTAACTGTGAGCAACGTGCATACACACACAGATACACGCTTAGCAACAACTCACCGTCATTTAGAGGGTCCCCTAGGGGTTTACGATATCAGAGCAGATAATTTTAGGGCGTCGACCAGGATGGATTGTCGGAGTGGGGAGGGGTATTGAAAATTTGTCAAATTCGATTTTTACACAGACAAAAAAACAACCGGGAGGTTTAAAGCAATGCGACAAAATGTTGACGTCCTTGGAAAACTACATCAGCATTTGCATGCTATGATCTTTGTTGTGAAAAAAAGAAAAGACCATAACTACCATACAACACACTTATTACAAAGCAGTTTATGAATAATTGAATATGAAAATCGATATTTTTACGCACTCTCAGTAGGTAAAACTCAACATAAATGAACTCTAACGGATTGATTTTTGGTGTCAACAACAACCGACAAAAAATCTGTTTATGTCAAACATAAAATATTGCTAGTGTTATCATCAAAATATTCCTTTACTTTAAAATATTCAATATCTTATCTCTGTGTAGCCCACGTCTTTTCAAAGTGGCTAAAAATAACATCTTAAACTTCCATTGTCTGTTGTGTTCGTCTGCCCTTAAGTTGGCCAGGCGGGGGGTTGGGTCACGGGGCAGGGTTGACTTTTATCTCCTAAAGTCAAAACTTCTTTCCGCTAAACTGTACTTTGATTGTCCTGGATATGAGACAAGATGGCGCCCGGCAGAGATACCGGTCTCCTGCAGGGTCCTTTGGGGACGGGAAAATAGTTGGAAATGTTGCCAGATAGATGTAACAGGGCTCGAAATTCATTTTTGGAAATAGGTGCACTGGTGCCTCCAACCTAAAAATTAGGTGCACAAAATTTTTTGGGGCTGCACCATATAAAACAAAACCTACTTACAGATCTTACTACTCCTCTTCTGAGCTTGAATCTGAAATGGGAGCTAATTTCAAAATCTTAAACAAGTACTACAACAAAGATTTTATTCTTTTATGACTCTTAGATGCCAAGAATATCCTGCATACTTTTATACAGTTAATATGTACAAAATACCTACAAAACTATACGGGTGCTCCCACAGAAAAAAATTGAGTGCACATGCACGCAGTATTTCGAGCCCTGAATGTAGGTTGGATGATTTGCCAGAGGGGTTATACCAGCCAGAAAAGGTCGAGTGTGTTTCTGAACCCTGCACGTGGACGCTCTTGGCAAAATACTGGCAAATTTCATGCGAACGTTTTGCTCAAACTGAAGTCAAGTTGGGACAATGTTGACAGTCTTATGTTGATACCAGACCCATGGGGTTGCTGGAAAATACATGTAATAGAAATTGGTGAAATAGTGTCAATAATTTGCCAATTTGTACTAGTTTTTTAGTACCTTACATCCCCTTTCAACTAGATGCTGCTACCGCTATTAAAGCAACCAAATATTTGGCAGATCGTTTAGCGACTTTCAAAGACAATAGAGCGATTTTTATAGTAAAACACTTTTTTTTCAATCTTCTGCGTTGCGGATAATATTCTAATCATGAAATCAAGGGTTGCAAACCCTTGATTTCATTTTGGTCGCGTAATTATCTTAGCAGTGAAAGGGGCCTACAGGAGTGTCTCTTCTACCGTAGAGGTACAGTAGAGACTATAAAGTACAGCAGATATTCCCATGGCTTCCCAAAGAGACTCGCATTAAAAAGCTGCATGTTGGCGTGCTGCCACCTGACAGGATACCGCACCAGTCTGATGTTTTGTTTTCAATCTTTTGCGCTGTGGATAATATTCCAATCGTAAAACCAAGAAAGGGGCTATAGATATACGACAGAGACGATAAAGTACGGTAGATATTCCCTTTTAACTAAAGACTGCTACCGCTGAGCAACCAAAATATTTGATTCTATGATTGGAAGATAATATTGTAATCATAGATTCAGGGGTTACAGAAATCCTAGTCGATAGGGGGTTTACAGAAGTCTGTATACTACCGTAGATATACGGTAGAGAATATAGAGACGTGGATACTAGTATTCCCATGCCATGGCTTCCCAAAGAGATTCGCATTAAAAACTGTTGGCCTGATGCCACCTGACAATGTATATTGACCCTCATGGAGCAGAAATTCCCAAAATTCTGACGGAAAATGGTTACTAGAAGGGCCCTTCCCCCTTGGCTGATTTTTAGGGTGCCTCCCAGACAATAAAGGACTCATCTTGGGGCTTGTTTCTGCAGTTTTAATTGCTCAAAGTATGACATACTGATTGAAATGTGCTAATGTGAAGCAGTATGTGTCAATATCACAAAGATTGCCTTATTCAGAATATTTCCATTTTTGCTGCCCTGAAATCGCATTGGATGCCTTTAAGCTTTTCCCGCATCAAAACCTTCTGGCGTGCTGCCACCTGACAGGATACCGCACTAGGCTGTGAATAATTCATCAGATCCCCGCACGGAAAGTCTGCCCACTTCCGGGCCTGTACTGTAACCTTGGCCGCCCGTATAAGGCATGGCGGGACTTCAAACACTTCCTGGTGTTCGTCTGGGGTCAGTCCATCTTAAGAGGGGGGGGGTATTAATTTTTGTGTACCGGCTAAGCAGTATTGAAGAAACAGAAATACGTTAAGAGTATCATTAAAGTAACGGTGTATGATTTTACACCCGACTGGGAAAACTATATGAAAATAATGCATGTTTTGAATAAAGTTTTATAAAAATGTATTTTAAGTAAGATATTTAGAATTAAAGATAGATATAGTATTTAATTTTCAAATATTTTATCAGTGTCTGTGGTCATGAGCCTGACACGAATTAATGAAACACAGAATTTAGTAAAATTATTTCCTGTTCCGTCCTAAGACACTTATGAGCAGAGTTACGGGCCTTTTTTCACGAACCTGAACAAGATAAAGTTAATAAAAATCATAATTTAGTTATGTTAGAGAAAAACTAATTTTCCGGTTCTTTGTTCACAGTTATGAGCAGTGCGACCGGTAAGAAGGACGCCAAGCCCAAACCAGACGAGGCGGAGGCGCTGGCCAAACTCAAGATCCTACAGGACTCACTGGAGCGGGCAGAGAAAGGAGGTGGGTCACGGGAGGTCATTCACCTGGGCAGGAGGTCATTGACCTGGTCAGTAGGTCATTGACCTGGTCAGTGGGTCATTGACCTGGTCAGTAGGTCAATGTTAGCCTCTACCAGGCTTCAGAGGAGGCTGAAAGAGCAGAAATTAGCTCAATAGACAGACTTGGTCAGTAGACTGACCATCTTCAGAAAAAAATGTTTGGAGATTATGTCTGAACGTGTCTGTTATATTTATTTATTTATTTATTGTTTGAATCAGGCAGAGCCCATAGACAACATAGACAACACAAAATACATAAATTTAAAAATACAATGTCTAGGATAAAAGAAACTGAGCGAGGGCATATTTAAGGTCTTCATACCAACTGGCAGTATCGACGCCAGAACTGACTTCTGGGGAAGGCATCAGAGCGTAAGAGCATACTGATGATGTCGTTACCCGTCGCCAGGAGGCGAGCCGCAAAATAGTGCGTCAGCTTTCGCCTCCTGGCGTCGAAGGTGTATATTGGTAGGAAGACACTTTTATACTTATGTATTCCTTGTTCTATACTTATACATATATCGATTGAAAACAAAAGAGGATTAACATGGAATTCTTATGGCCAAGTAGTGAAAATTGTTCAAAGGCGCTGGCAATGCATTAAACAGATGCCGGTACCAGAAGAATGTAGTTCCAAGTTATCTTAACACCCAGCTTTAGAAAGGATCAACCCCCGACTGTAATCTCGCCTTCCGCAGCGCACCACGCACTGTTAGCCGTTGCCATGGTAGCAGACGTTGCCATGGTAGCAGACGATAAACACGGCGACTCCCTGGTGACAGACTTACTTCCCAGACTGTGAGGTCACGGGTCAGATTGACCTGACTTTTGACCTCGTTCGTTCGAACCTGATGAGGTCACGTCCTTTGATGAAATTCGTTAATATTTGGGTAGTCAAAAAATTACATTTTTTAATTGATCTATTTTGTTGGACGACCTTGCTTTGTTGATTTTGAAAGGTTTTCTGCTCATCACGAATGCCTAATCTACGTAGACTTCACGCGGGTTTTCAAAATCTGTAAGAAAAACATGGACTTGCCCCCCGGAGAGTGTTTAGGTAAAGTAGCGTAACCACCGGCGTGCCTACATGGTGATTGAGATGTTAAAAAGGCCGTAGGGTCTGTAAAAATGCACAATCATAATCCAATGTAAATTTAGCCAAATAAAGGTATTTCTTCTCCACATAAACGGACGACCTGCAAAAATAAAAGAAGCCAAAATATTGACGACCCCAGCATTTTCGCTCTTCTCCAACTAACCAACTCTATTGCATTCTAATGACGTTTGAATAACTTTCGATTCGCCGTAATATCGAATAACATCTATTATTATCCTGCGGCCTTGCTATAGACCCCCTGAAATATCATTACATAATATTGATGGCCGAGACATAACGAAGTGTTAGGACCAATATCAATCAGTATTCTTTGAATATAATATCGTGAGTTGTCATATATCCTAATTTGCACATATACAGCCTGTGTGATATGATTATTTCTATTCAAAAAGACTGAAATGCCAAACAAAGTAAAATAAAATAGATATATAACGACATATGAAATCTGCGTTCGTCAAATACAATATAATGTAGAATATGAGCTGTAATATATATTAATCTGTACATACACAGTATGTCTGTGTTATGATAATAATCTGATCTAAAAGACCGAAATGCCAAATACAGTTTGCAGTTCATTGATCTCATTAAGATCGGTACTAAATTGTCTAAATTACGAGATGAGACAGAAATAAACACACACGATTAACCAGTCCTGTATACTGCACCCAGCCGCACTGTGGGATTAAATTATAGAAACCTTATTCGCAAAATCATGCCCGAAAGCTAATTGCTTTTACAATCAAATATAATACACATTGCAATACAGTAACAGGAGACAGGTAACAACTGTCTGGAAAAAACTTCTACTTCTACTACTACGCTAGCTATTATGGGGTTCGACTTCTTCTTTGAAGGCAGTGGATAATGAATAGTCCCACATTCTGCATAATTAGTGCGTTTTGTGATCTTAGTAGAAATGCAGTTTTTTGGTGATCTACTAAATGACGAAAGGATGGAGAAATTGTTGTAACTGTCTGAAATAATCTGTTTTTTTTTCGGTCTCATAGTGAGGACACTGGCTAACAAAATGTATAATCTCCAAGCAGATCTTTTGGTTGCTACAAAAAAAGACAGAATCCATTTGCCTGGCAGTTACCATTTGCCACCCCAAGTTAGGCTGGCGTAAAAGGGATTATTGGCATTCTGTTTCGAGAGACAATGCAATGGAAAAGGTACCAGTACAAAGAGCACGATAAAAAGGCATAAAATACGCCAAAAATATTAAAGCCGAAGCCTGAACCTCTGATTGGAGATAAATCACTACTGACACTACTCTCCAAGTAAAGGCTTATTTTTGGTGTGTTTTAGGCTTTTTTAACGGGTTTTCTTTGGCATCTTTTTTGTGCCAGCTCAGTGCAAGAAAGAAAGGCAGATAAAAAGCCTAAAAATACGCAAAAATATTAAAGCCTAATATATAAACCTCCGCTTGTAGATAGATGACTCCTGACAGTTGGTTCTGCCCAGCGCGCTGCACGGCAGATTTCCCACCGGTATTGACTCATCGTCTGGCTGTAGCCTCGTTACCAGGCTGCACCATAGCCTCTACCAGGCTTCGGGAGGCGGCTATTGGGAGTAGAAGTCGGTCAGATAGAAAGAGATTACTCTCCAAACAGAGGTTGTGGGGGAATGATGAATGATCGTTAGTTTTTTTTTGTCCTGACCTTCTCTGGCTAATGGATACTGTCTGGCCAATTTGATACTGTCTTTTTGCCACCGAGAGGGATCTGCTTGGAGATTAGAAAGAGATAACATAAAAGGGGAGTTGGTCTTAGAGAGTACAGCTTGCCGCACCCGCATGTTATCTCTCTATTTCAGTATTTGACCAATTTCTACTCTTTCCAGCCGCTCCCGAAGCCTGGTAGAGGCTAGCTTTACGACAGGGACTGTCTTCGGGTTTTTATCAATCTCAAAGCAGATCTTTCAGTGTCTGCAAGGCAGTATAAAATTCACGAACATGATAGTAGTCTCTACCAGAATCCACTAGAAATTTGCTGAAACAGATGAACAATTTTCCTGCTTTCAGGAAATCCGACACAAAAGTCACAATGGCTTTTGTAACTACAGTATATGGCCTGCTGACTCCTTTTGCAAATTATTTACCACACTTGACCAAATTATAATGTTTTTATTCCATAAGCAAATATTCTGGTGCTGACTAGTACATTGTATACTGTGTAGTATTCAGGGCGTATTGGCCTGAAATTATGGCGGTCACGTAGGAAAAGGACGAACGTCGCATGATGATGATTCCCTCCTTGTTATATCAAACAAGACGACCGGCTATGACCTGTGGCAGGCGGTATAATATGTTTTCATTGCTCACTATACATGTAGTATTTGTACGAAAGACCAAAAGTATGCTTGGACTGTGTTTTAGGGTTGGCCACAAAACCTATGCAAGTTGACATGTCCAGGGTGTGCCAAAATGTGCAACGTATAGTAATGGAGTTTGGAATCGTGAGCTTAGTAGAATAATACAAGCCGTTAGATGGAATATCCTTTAAATGAAACAATAACAATGCAACATTACATTAAAGACAGCAAAAACAGAATGGTGAAAGAACTTATCTTTTTTGACGCATTGAGCAAAGTATTAACTAATACTTAATTTAGAGCCATTTTAGAAACTTAACTAAAATGCTACACTATCAAACGTAAGACAATACGACAAAAGGAAAACATGCCGATACTAAGGCCACGGATTTGTGTCACTAAATCTAAAATATCCTACCCCAAACCTATTGTAGTATAATCAGTAATCCAAAACCATTTCCTTACCTCCTATTAAAGCAAGCCGATTGAGTCACCTGCTTGAGGCGACATGGATAATTTGACATGGCCTTTTACTCCCCACACAAACACACGCAGTGTGTCTTTTGTTCCTATGTTTTCGTAGTTAGTACACACAATAGCTTGTAATAGCGGAAAGACCCTCAGTTGTGTTGACATGTTGTAGTCCAAACGCCAGGGGAGTTGAGCTTTGATTTGAGTCTTATTCCTTGAGTCGCTGTCATTATAAAGGAATGTCGTTCACGGTACCGTGCCCAAAAGGCTTCAAATGCCATTTCAGGGTGGTGAAACAAAAATATTCTGGGTGAGGAAATTTGTCTGATATTGAGATTTACTACCATTTCTTCTTAGCACATTGTTATCATCATTTAATACTTGAAGCGTTTGCCTCAAACAATCCACAGGAGTCTTGTAATTTGTGGACACCTCCCATGAATATCTACTAGTAGATGTGGCCTACGATCCAAAACAAGCCAGCATTTTCCGTCAATGACATCGCAATTTTGCTTCACAGATATCAGTATGCTTTGGGATAGGGTTGATTCAGCTTACTACATTTAAAAGAATGACCAGAAAATTGACTTTGAAAATCACCCAGTTTTGCCGCCCTGCAATTGCATTGGATACCTGTAAGGGCAATGTCTATACGTGATGAGCAAGGTTCTCACCAGGATTTTTCACAGTATAGGGGTCAGGTGCAGAGGGACAACATTCGTGGCACAAGTCGCGCAATGAGCGGAAAAAATTTGAAACTCAACCCCCCGAGACACTATTTCTTGCTTATTGAGGGTCAGATTTTGTGAAGTTAACTAAAGGTTTTCCCCTTGCTATAGCTTCAATCTAAAGTTATATTAATTTTCATTTTCTGCAAGATTTATGAAGGTTCTCCCCCAAAGAAACATCCCTATCCTGGTTGAAAGACAGCATAGGGGGTCCAAATCACAGCATATGGGGCCCCTGTGCTCAAAAGGCCTGGCTAGAACACTGATGAGGAATTTGAGGAATATTTAAGCGAGGCGCGCTGTTAAAATGCGCCTGAGGTAGACATAACTCCCGCTGGGACGACTTCGCTGCATTGATTTCATTTGCATAATTGCGTGGCGATCGCCATCTTTATCGGGGCTAGACATGGGGTTTACGGGGAAACTTGAGCTGTGATGTACAGGGGCCACAAAAATTGTAGGAATGGAAATACGATGTTGGCATAAAGCCAGTTGACCAACGCCGTAGAAAAATCTAACTTTTAAAAGACTACAATATAAACATTAAGACTATATCATATACAGTTAGAGATCAGGGACAAAGAGTATTGTACATACTATGGATATTGACTGTATAAGCTTTATATTATATCGAAAAATCTACCAGAAATGCCTTTTGATAAGATTTTAAATAGAAGGCCCTCATGCCAAATGGGTCTCCTGATATATTAAGATTTTCCTTTTGTATTTCATATTTTGTGTCATTAATATTCATAGCAAATATGCTTACTGTGTGTTTGTTTTTTCTCTCCCTTTCCCGCGGCCACCACCGTCTGCCGTCCTCGCTACTGCTGTGTTGTACACAACAGAGGAACCAGGTAAGTCCATCTTTATGTTTGACTATAAATGCTAGCTAATACGCCAGTTAGATAGACTGTACCAACGCTCAGGTTACTATATGACATGCCGACCAATTTGTTTGGAACATGGCGCAGTTTCCATCGCCAAGGGGCACGTGTGGCCTCAGTAACCTTCTGGCCGCGGGCCAACACAAATTACAGCCTGTAGTACAGGTCTGCCAAACTCACTGATAATCACAATATCTGGTCTGAAAAAGGCACAGAAACCCTTCTCTATGAAGTCTTCTATTTCTTATACATGTACCTTCAACACAAAAATGGTATATGTGGTTTTTGACAAGTTCACGATGAGCACCCCCACCCCGAAATGAGTGGGTTTTTTTGCCAAAAAGACAACAGGCTTCTACTTCTGTTGGACTGTCAAGAATCTGCACCAGTGTTCATTTGGGTAATCTCCAAGCAGATCTTTTAGTGGCAGCAATACTGCGTCAAATTTGCCAGCCATTATCAAATAGAGTTGGGGCAGATGAGTGACCAACTGGAGTGACCAAATTGATCGTCCCCTACCCCCGAATGAATCTGCTTGGAGATTATAATTCGGGCTTATCTCCAAGCAGATCATACGGTGGCAAGGCAGTATCCATTGGCCAGAGGAGTGTCCATTTCAGTGGCTAATGGACACTCTTCTGGCCAATGGACACTGCCTTGCCACCGTATGATCTGCTTGAAGATTAAAATTCGGGCTACAATTCAGAGCCCGGAGATTGCAGATGCAGCTTTTGCAGCACACGGTAGCGTGTCGTAAAATCACTAGTACGTGACGGCTGTGACACGTTTGACACTAGAATATACGGCGTTTCTATTATTCATGTGCTCTGGTGCCTCTGTGCGTGAACAGTAGACTGTAGTTTCTGCCACTGTAAAAGGAACAAGTCAGTGATTCGGAACCTTTTACCTCAAGAGTGAACTGTGTCAGCAGTACGACTTTTATGGTCGAACGATTTATCCAGACTTTAAAAAATCTATAGGTGCGTGTTTTCCAAGAAAATATGGCTTCGCCAGATTCTTTGTCCAACAGGGAAAGAAATGTACTTAGGTCATAAACAAGCATTATGACACAACCAAGAACAGCAATTTTATCAATTTTCTTTCTAATTAGCATGCAAACCTCACCACTTATATCTCAGAGATGGCTGAAGCAAAATAATAGTTTGTATAATGAGTAGATCATCAGACAATGTGTGGGGAGGTTCTTACAGAATCTAGACCTTCGAATACGACACAAGTGCATGCAGTGCATTCCAACCCAAGTGTTGAAGAACAAAACTAGCCGCAACTGGTTCGACTGTGTGACATTTGACCCTAGGGCAAGACAGAAATATTCCCATCATTGTAAACACAACAAATGTGAACAATTTTCATATACCATCATCATCATCTCATTAACGTATGTGAATTTTGTCCTTTTTACAGTGAAAGACGAAGACTACGAGAAGAGGAAACAGGACAGACAAAAGAAGAGAGAAGAGGAAGGAAAACCACGTAAGTATCGTCTCCTCATCATCAAGCTATCACTGAACAAAATCCATTCTTTGAACACACTTTAAGGCACGCGTAAAGGCTGTAGGTTGAAATTAGCTGTATTAACTGCCTTACTGTGTGTAAATTTGTAACTACAACCTTGTTGTAAATAAAAGAAATAATTTCATCAGGTTGAATAAAGACAGGGTTTTTACACAACCTAAGGATTCGGTTGTGTAAAAAGAATCTCTTTAATCCACTCCAATGTCCTATTTTCTGTGTTTCTGTGTTTAGCAAAAGACGACGATGACGAGGGTTGGTATAATTACACAGTTGAGGAAGACCTTAACAAAGTCGATGTATTTTTGTTGTGTCAATAAAGATTTATTCAAAAATAATTCCAACTCTACTACTGGATAAATTACGGAGATTATTTCCAAAATTTATCCAGTAGTAATTCTGGAATAATCTACGTAATATACCCAGTAGCAGAGTTTGAAGTGCCGTTGGATATTGTTTGCCTGGATGTCTAACCCTTATTAACGTATTTTCTGTTTGGGGTTTGGTTGTGTGAAAAGAGTCTCTTTATCCAACTCCAATGTCCTATTTTTTGTTCCTACGTTTAGCGACAGACGATGATGAGGTTGGTAGAACTCTGAGAAAGATGCATGACAAGCATTGGAGGAATGAGAGACTTGATAGCCTCCGTAGTAGGCTTATAGAACTGGGGGTTTGGTGGTCTTAGCCCGGTTCAAAAAACGGGGGTAATTCAACCAGGCCGGCTATGTTGTCTATCAGAAACACCCACAACACCCCCAGTTTTTGGCATGCTGTGGAGGCCAAGACTTGCCTGGTTGTGGAGAAAGAAAACTCAAATATCCTATTTTATCTTTCTGTATCTAGCGAAAGACGACGATGATGATGAAGACGAGGATCCCCACGGAATCATGGACAAGCTCATGGCACTCGCCACGCCCAAGAACCTGCAGGTCCTGGAGAAGATGGGCATCTTAAAGAAGCTTGGTCCCCTCGGCGGCCTGCTCAAGATGCTGGTGAAGTCCAACTCCAAGGGAGGGTCCGGAGGAGGTGGGGGAGGAATGCCTGGTCTGAACACCGGGATGCTCAAGAATCTTGGAGGTCTGGGCGGGATGCTTGGAGGGGGAGGCGGTGGAGACAGCGGCGGCAGCGGCGGTGGTGGCGGCTTCAACCCCGCGCTACTAGCGGGACTCGCCACGCAACTAGGCGGCCCGGACTTGGGAGCTATGGGAGGAGGGAAGGGGGGCATCGGGGGATTTTTCAAAAGTCTATTTAAAAAGAAATAGAAAACGTCGATCTTTCGGGAAGGGTAGGATATACCAGGGGCTAATAAAATGGAATAGTTAGAAAGCCACCACGCGAGTTATTTTTCTAAGGCAGTCTGAAATTGATGAATGCTAGATTTGTTTGTGGGTTATTTTTTTTTCTTTTGATAAGGGAGAGCGTATGCTCCTCATGTAGTTTTAGATATCATTATAGATTAGAAATTCAAGTCTTTCCGTTAAAATAATGTACGTATGTTTTGTCTTGGGAGGAAACTTTTCGCAGCTATAATAACTATAAGTTAACACGGTTAATGTTAACTCCACCACTAGGTATCAATTAGATTGAATGTTATTTTTTTCTAATGCGTAAATACCTACAACTTGTTTAACCATTATTTTTGGTGATGTGCTACGGTTAGCAGTAATTAACGGCAAATTAAGGTGGTTAGGGTACTTCTTAATGGTGCTGGCTTCACTGTTGCAAGGCACATACGTACTGTATAGCCTGGCTGCTCTACTTGGCAATGGAGCTTTTGTAGAAAGTAAAGCTACGATGTATGTGTGTTATCTTGAAAGTTCATCTGTGTTGGTAGAAATCATTATGAAGCAAGTTTAAACTGTTTCCCTGATAAGTTTAAACTCATTCCTTGACAAAGACTGGAGTTGTACAGTCGACAATTTGGGTGAGTCCAATTTCTTGTGTTGGAAATTTCAGTTTAAACTTGCTTCATAACGATGCATGTGTGTTATCTTCCACTACTTGTTTCTTCGTTTAGGTGACAATGAAGAGGTATCTCTAAATTCAATTTTCTTCCTTGTTAGCTAGGAGTTGGTACAATACTTACATTAATACGTATTAATGTGGTCTTAATGCTTCGTTGTCGTCAAATTGCTTATGAGGTGAGGTTTAATCTTGTACCCACTAAGCACATATATTGGCCTTCACGTCCACTATTTTGTACGGTTCGGTACTAGTATCTTACAGAATGGCTTCATCGTATATTTTGTGAACTTTGGACCACTATATGCATGATGTTGATCATTGATACTGCATAAAAGAGATGTTTACAAATTTGAAAATGATTCTGGTTTTAGGAAAACAACATTTTCCAATATTGAAGTACATGGAATTGGTGCATGTTAAAGTTCTCTGTTTATTCTGTATGGACTCCATATTACGTCACACACCCATGTGCATTGACTAGAACCATGTCAGAGAATAACTCGCCTCTTATGAGTGGTATTAAACATAAATACATGTATAACATCTTCATACATTTACCAGAACAGGTCTGCTCTAAGACCAGTAACTTAGTAACAGACTTATAAGTTTCTATATGTCAATTATTTCATCCACTGTGGCGAAAACATGTTAATAATCCACTGGTGAATACAAATTCATTTATGGTACTAGTAACATTGTGGCAATGCCCTACGAAGCAAGAAAACTGTTTCAAAACCTATGAATTGTTTTTAAGATGTCTTTTGTGTGATCACTAACTTTTGTATCATCCATGCATATGTAGCTGCAATGGCAGATGCCTACCATAGGTACATCTCTATAGATCTAGCCTCACCACTGCCATATAGCGCCTTTACGCCACGTACCGTGAAACGCGTCCGTGTCTGTCCGGTGAACTGTGATTAAAGTCACTGTTTGTACAAGACAGATTTCTGTGGTGTTCCCTTTCCTGTTTCATGTCACTTACCAGTATATATATATATATATCTTGCCATATATATATCACTTTATATATACGCTGAGTTTCGCTAGCCTCTACCAGGCCTTCCTACGAGTGTACATACCGACCGTAAAATTCGGCAAAAAAAAGGGTAGACTAATAGGCCATGAGAGTCAGTCCTTGAGGAAGTGAAATGAACTATACGATGGCCAAAATCACCTGGTTAATTATTCACCCTATTTGGCTATTTTCACTGTTTTTGAACCCGTATTATTAGTCTGGTGGGGTTTTACCCTTTAAAGGGGGATGTTAAGCCGTCAAGCGCCAGGCGTTTTAAAGAAGCCAACACACTTGTCGATAAGAGTAGTATTACCTGTCCTACCTCAGACTAAAACTTCAATACCAGCAATACTTTTTACGTCTACCACATATACGCTATTGTAGTAATTCTGGCAGACGTCCGAACATGTACAGATTCAGCAGGAGTTGGATGTCGCTTGCCTTAAATTATGTGGGTTAGATATTGTCAGAGACACGTGTGTGGATCAAAGGACTAAAATAAAGATAAAGATATTGTGTATACAGCAGTGGAACCGTGCCAGGAACACTTGGTTTTAGCTATATCATCATCATCATCATCATGCCAGGCGTCTTACTACAAAAGTACAATACAGTGTAATCTGTTGATCAATACTGACCACTAGCGGACTTTGTCAAACCTGCAGGCTATTAAGAAATAAGACCCTGGAAGACCATTTCACCATTATGGAAACATCACATTGACACACACATTTCGTCTATGGACCACTTCAAAATACTGTAAAAAAGCCCACTATCTTAAGTAATCACTATCACGGTTAATAGTGTAAGAACACAACAAACAGTAAAATCTTAAGCTAGTAGAATAGTTATGAGAAGATGTTAATTCAAGCTTCACACAGCTCACAAATCTGTAGGTGCGCCACAATTACCATAAAAACCTGTCTGACAACTTCGTGATAGCTTCAGGACAGCGGGGGTCAGAATTATCCCACGGAACGGTTTGAGGACCAGAACGTTCCAGTGCCAATCTCTGCGCTGTACAAGCTTAAATTTTCTTGGCTGAACGTCCTAGGAGAGCGGTCAGCATGAAGAAAGTCGCACCTATCCTTGTTTTGCTGCTACTTGAGCTGTACACAGCAACATCCAAGTCACGTAAGTACATGTATCAGATACACATGGGTGAATATGCTAATTGTGGGGAGGGGGGTCACTAAGAAATCTGATTTTTCTACACCTATTTTATAAACTAATTCTGATTTTTGTGTTGATATAGACTTGCTGTTACAGGCTCGAAAGTTTTTAATGATTGCAAGTAAATCAGAAACTGACTTTGAGCTGCTCCAGAAAGTATCTGGTGATACGTGACTAGGTTGCTATTTAGAGTGTCTTAACTTACATATATTTGCATACTATGATGACTTCTTATAACACTTCGATATCGGGAGAGCTTGTGGTCAACTTAGAGATGTTCAACAAGATACAAATTCTATATGGACGACGGGAAAAGCTACCCTGAGAATCTGGGTTGAATGACGTCATGGGTCGAGCACGGAGGTCACACGTGCAGTTAACATGTAGCATGTGACTGTTGGTAATAGAAACATAGCAAACATTTGAGACCCAAACGTTAATAGTTAGATAATCCTAACACATCTCGACTTGATATCTCAAGAGATTCGTTTGTGCATGTTGTTAGACTCCGAAGCAACCAGTTACAAATTATACTCCGTCTGGACAAGCGTGTTCTTCACATAATCTTAGTACCAATGCAAAATATACACGTGACAATTGTTGCTTGTTCAGACATTATCTTACACAGCCAAGCGTTACCACAGTGGATTTAGAAATGTCACGCAACACTTTTTGCCTCTTGCCTGCCTAAATCTTTGGTATGTAACATCTTGCTACAACTGTGACTCACGGAAAGATAAGAATGACAAAAAGAAATCGTTGATGCGTGACGACTTCAGTTGTGGGCGGTATCGTCTATCAATGGTAATTTACTGCTGATTTCTACCAGTTCAACAGGGCCGATACCAGGCAAAGGGGGAATATAGCAGGAACATAGGGGTTAGGCGGCCATTAAGTTACACATCTTCAGGTGCTAATTTGTAACCATTACAATTTGTTCCACGACGTCATGCCTTCGCCAAACCGATGTTTTATCAGTTGATCATATTCTCCATCCAATGACAGTATCATTAGCAAGGAAATTCATTACAACATTTCCTCCTTGCATACATTATGCAAATGAGTATTAATCTGAATAAGTTGCAGTGCCCTAGGTATCCGCTAGGAGGCCCATTATCGAACTTTATCTTCGTTTGGCCTGCCCCTACCCTACCCACTCACTAGATATCATTAACAACCACCCGCGTTTCCTCGACGTATACGTTGTCCCCAAAATACACAACTCTCTGCAGCAACGTAGGATACTAGCAACCATGTTCGAACTTGAAAGTTGTTTCCATAACCGCTGCATACCTACCAAATATCATTACAGATTTTAGAGTTGCACATGTTGAATAAGGAATGTTAGAAGATAAGTTGAAAGTAAGTAATATATGGAGGACAGAACTGTCTGGAGGGAGAGAGTTGCCTTGGTCCGGGCAAGTCGCCCGACATTATGATGATAATGAAGGAAAAGTTGGATGGATGAGTTTTCGTTTAGAGAATGAGGATAGTGAGGTAGATATATTGTCTTTGGTGGATTTTATTCCAGTAAGTGGCTGTGAGGACCAGGATGAGAGGTGCCCGGATTGGGCCGCAGAAGGGAGATGTCGCATCTCGAAGGAAGTCAGGGAAAGATGCCGACTGAGCTGCCATCTTTGTAACGGTAACCAAACCTGTTTTGTAGCTGAAGTAATACTCACTCACTCACTCAAGTCCGCATGCTCCTAGGAGCGTAGCGCCCCGGCAAACTGTCCTCCAAGCACTTCTGTTCTGTGCCGCTGTAGTTAGGTTGTGGCCTACTGCTCTCAGGTCTGACGACAGGACATCCAGCCACTTCTGTCTGGGCCTGCCCCTGGGTCGGGTCCAGTTTGTAGGTGTGGGTTCCAGCAGTAGTCTGGCTGGTTCTGAGGGCGGAGATGATCTGGCGAGGTGGCCGAAGAGTCGGAGGCGGGCAGCTCGAATCTTCTGGAGACTAGAGGCTGGTTTGTTGACCGGCGTAGGTCAACAAACGAAGTAATAGCTTGATTTTATTCATATTCATATATATTTTCCATCGCCCCCTCCCACCTGTTTCCCTACCTACAGTTCTCAGTAAGCGTGGCGCCGTGGAAGATGTGCAAGATGATAACGGACTGAAGGACCTGGCCAAACAACTCGTGAAGAACAGGGGGTCCGGATACAGTAAGCAGATTCCGTTTTCTTTTAAAACATAGTTTCCCTGTCCGAACATTTTGAGAGCGTTATGTCATAGCTAGGCACTTTGTAAATGAGTCTACCAGTTCAGCCTCAACGTTGCCATGGCACCTGCCATTGATTTTGAAATGAATATTAAACAATTCTGCATGCTACTATTACTACATGTGATTGTTAGCCTAAACGTTCATCTGTGTTGGTATTATTGAATAAAGACTAAACTGTCTCTGCCAATACTGGAATGAATTGGGACTTACCCCAAATTTGCATGCCAACGTGATTGTTGTTTGAGGCCATATTCCTTCTGCGTCAAAGTAGCACGACTACAGCACAGTTTGATCAAACCATCATGGGGTATAGGGAACTTTCAAATCGACAGTTCAGATTCACGATATTATTTTTACATACATGTAAGCTTATATAAAGACTATCCGGAATGACTGGTGTGTGTTGTTTACCTAAAAACAGTCGACTGTGACAACATCCTGGTGTGGGATGCACTGCTGCAGGAGGAAGAGAACCAAGAGCGTACCATCAAGACATGCGGTCAGTAACCTTGTAATTTCTTCGGGTAGATTAGAGACGTAACTCACTCAACAGGTAGATTACTGACTCACTTAACCTCAACAGAATCCTTGCATTTGTAATCTATAGCTTTGCCAAAATCTTGACAAACATTTAAAACTCAACTAATTTTAAACGTAACTATAATTGAACTGAGGAGGAAATCTCAACAGTCACCCAATGTACCTTTTTGCAAGTTATTTGGAATGTAGCATAAATCTACAGTGTAACTGATCATAGCAATATAGTCATAATACATGTTTTGACATGTTTTGATATTTTACAGATAACCACCGGCATTGACTTGTTCATAAACGTATCGTAGTTATCACTTAAGACTTTGCTGTGTCGTATCAAAGTTTTAAATACATGACTGGAATTTGAATCGTTGCAGGCCTCTGCTCTGACGACGAGTTTCTGAAGATGCACATGGAACTGTTTGAGAAGCACTGCGGTTACGGCAAAGGGGGTAAGTCTAGGATCATATGATCTAACTGTGCAGGGCTTTAGGGAGACATTAGAAAAATTCAGGGAAAGCAAAATACGTGAAGCACTGCAAACAACAGAATCATTATCAGTAACAACGACGTCAGTGTAGGAATCTCCCAAATTGCCATTCCTGTAAAACTAAAAACACAAGATGTCATGGCAGTGAAGGAAAGTTATTCTTCAATATCGTTACAGGATTTCCCCCCATCTGCTTTAACCCTGCCGGATGGGAGAACCTCCTGTACAGCTTCAAGGAGGAGCAACTCGTCAAAGCATGCGGTAAGAGAACCGTACTGATACTCATTCAAGGAAACGTACTCAAGCAACTGGGTAGAGTTTGAAAACTGTCAGGACATTTCAAGTAACATCCACTAATATTCGTGAGTGACTGTCGAAACGCTGTGGATGCTGTTTGGAACATCTGGCAGTTTTCAAACTCTATCCAGTTGCTTGAGGAACAGTTTCCTTGTGTATCCCATTGCCTGGGTGTCTAACCTTCATCTAATAACTATCCTGAGAGTACCAATGGCATTTCAAACTTTGACACTTCAGCAAGGTCTTGCAACTGACAAACTAGTGGCTTACAAAGCATTGTAAACAGTTGTGAATGAAGAACGTTTATATTAATTAAGGCATTAACATTGTTTTCTCATGTTTTATGTCCACAGCTCTGTGTGACAACGGGATGTTTAGGAGGGTCCATCCTGAGATCTTCGGGGACCACTGTGAACTCGACGGTATGTTCTTTGGAATCTTTTTTTTTCAATGAAAGGACTGGTATTATCCTCAGTAAGACTGTAGCACCAGAAATAGCTGAATTCTGCAAATGTGACTTCCAAATAAGATTCTATGGAGAACAAAATGTATACATCTTTATCTATCCATCTAACTTTCTCTGTCTCTGGTTCTTTCTCTCTCTGTCTCTCTGTCTCTCTCCCTCTCTCTGTTTCTCTGTGTCTGTCTGTCTCTCTCTCTCTCTCTCTCTCTGTGTGTGTATCTCTCTCTCTCCTGTTGCTCTCTGTCCGTAGAAACTTTACAGAAATGACATATGCTCCAACTTTTAAGAATGTATTTAAGAATGGGAGTAAGGTTACCAATCTTTTATACTGTCATGGTCCGCTACTAATGGATCAATGAGAGCCAATACATTGCTACATTTCTACCTCCTTAATAAGCAGAAGAGGAGGAGGAGGAGGATGGGAAAGATGAAAAGGACGAGGACGCCAGGGGGACAGCCGAGGAGGAAGATGAGGATGATGAGAAGGAGGAGACCAGAGGGACAGCTGAGGAGGAAGATGAGGAGGATGAGAAGGAAGAAACCAGGGGAACAGCTGAGGAGGAAGATGGGGAGGATGAGAAGGAAGAGACCAGGGGGACAGCTGAGGAGGAAGATGAGGAGGATGAGAAGGAGGACACCAGAGGGACAGCTGAGGAAGAAGATGGGGAGGATGAGAAAGAGGAGACCAGAGGGACAGCTGAGGAAGAAGATGGAGAGGATGAGAAGGAGGAGACCAGAGGGACAGCTGAGGAGGAAGATGGGGAGGATGAGAAAGAGGAGACCAGAGGGACAGCTGAGGAAGAAGATGGAGAGGATGAGAAAGAGGAGACCAGGGGGACAGCCGAGGAAGAAGAGGAGGAGGATGAGAAGGAGGACACCAGAGGGACAGCTGAGGAGGAAGATGGGGAGGATGATGAGAAAGAGGAGACCAGGGGGACAGCTGAGGAGGAAGATGGAGAGGATGAGAAGGAAGAGACCAGAGGGACAGCTGAGGAGGAAGATGAGGATGATGAGAAGGAGGAGACCAGAGGAGCAGCTGAAGAAGAAGAGGGGGAGGATGAGAAGGAGTCTCGGGAGGTTGAGCCTGATCATGATGAAGAGACCCGAGGGAAACTGGGTAAGTTCAACCTTAACATTCGAGAATAGCTGATGACATAGTGTTCACAGGGCTAGGGCTAGGGCCATGCACAAGCTGCATCGTATGAGTCTTAATCTCTGGGGTTTTTTTTTTCAAATTGAAGTTGATTTAGATATCATGGAAATGTGAAGTTAATCGTATTCAGCACTACTTGTTGTCATGAATGGAAAGCTGCAATCGGTAATATCTTGTATGTGCGTGGGAAGGCAATAGCCATATACTTAGTGGGTTTCATAGAAGAGTCAGTACCTCAAACAGAAGATACATGTAGAAATAGTTATGCGTGTCTACTTGATGTGATATAAAAATATCATCATTCTCACTAAGCAACAACTTTTTTCTCAATCCTTGCAGACTTTATCGACAAGGGTAAGACCGACGATGACCTTGTCCTGGCGGTGCAACAGTTCGTGAGGGACACGGCTAAGAACATGGAGGATCTGGCCGATCGGCTGGTCCGCTACGATAGGAAGCAGAAAGTCAAAGAGTGGGAGCCTTAAAGGATGCTCAACTTTAGGTTCATAAGATGTTTACTGAACAAAGTGAGATACAATGGTGTACTAGAGTGTTCTTCAGATGTTTGCTAGCAGTACAGAATGAGATACAATATTACATGCTTACCAGTTGCAGCAAAGCTTAGGGACAGAAAGTAGTAAGAATTAAGGAATTTGCTTACACAAGAAGAAAGTAAAGGGGTGGAAGCATTAAAGGATACTAAGCTTAAGGGTTCGTCAGATGTTTACTGAGCAAAAGGAGTTGCCATGTTATACTAGAAAGCTCATCAGATTTTTACTATCAGTAGAAAATGAGGCACACTATCACATGCTAACCAGTTGCAGCAAAGTCTAAAGGAAAGCATAGTAGTAAGATTTTAGGAATTCGATTACATATATAAGCAGGAAGTAAGGCGAGGAAGGCTTAAATGACGGTTAGCTTTAGCTAGGGGTCATCAGATTTTTACTATCAGCACAGAATGAGATACAATAGTGCTTGCTTGTCAGTTGCAGCCCAAGCTTACTGGCAATTAGCCTTAAGTAGTTAGAATTGATTATTTGTAGCCCAGTCGGTGGAAACCAAAGAGGATATTTAGCTTGAAGGTCCTTTAAATGTTTGCTATCAGCATAGAATGAGATACAAAATATATAGTTTCAGCTCGAGCTAAGGGGCAAAGCTGCAGCCAAAAATAGCCAAAGGGAAAGTTAAAAGAAAGTACTAGGTAGAATCGAAGAATTTGATTATAAGTAGCTCAGGATAATAAGTAGATAAGTGGAATTTCAAGGAATCTTATGATTGGTCATTTCCTTGTCGTTTATTGTGGTGTCAGGTGTTAGGAGCAAGTTTTATGGTTTGATAATTTTTATTGCCTGTTTGAATGTTATAGGATCATCACTGAACTAGAAGCTTGTCACGGCATAGCAAATTGCAATTGTAGTTAATTGTTGCATTAACGCACATAATAATGATAAAGTTTTTTTCGATTTCAACCCATTCCAAATTAGTGATTGCAACTGGAGTAGAGAGCATTGCTTGGCAAAAAATAAAACACGGTGAACTGGATACTCTTTCTGCAACCTTTATGTGTTTGTTAAGTTAAAAGTATTGACTGGAAGTATAAAACGGTGACAAATTGTGCTAAGAAAAGGCAGCAAATGTCAATATTAGAGTTCTTCATCCAGAATATCTGCTGTTTAGCCGCCTTGAAATTTCATGAGATGCCTTCATGCCCTCTAGTAACCCCGAGCATAGGCATGTAACACACATGGTTGCTCCTTGTGTAAACAACGGTTTCCAATGCGATTTCAGAGCAGCAAAACTGGAAATATTCTGAATAAGGCAACCTTTTTCATATTTACACAAACTGCTACACAATAGCACATTTAAATCAGTATTTCATACTTTGGGCTTTTAAAACTGCAGAAACAAGCCCCGAGATGAGTCTTTTATTTTATGGGTGGTACCCTAAAAATCAGCCAAGGGCCATTCCAGTAACCATTTTCCGTCAGAATTTTGGGTATTTTGCTCCATGAGGGTCACTATACACTTGGATAGTGTTGTTTCAACTCAGTATGTAGATAAGTGACTAGAATATTGACTTTGAAAAATCGTGTTTCCAAGCCCTAAAAACTTCATCGAATCCCTTTAAGAAGAAAAGGCGAATACCAGAGTTCAATTTTCTAACCACTTGTTGCACGTGTTTCTTTGCATATACGATGTTTTGCGGCCCTGAAATTACATTGGATGCCACATGCCCTCTCTTAACCCCCAAGCATGGGCATGTAACACGGCCGACTGAGCCTGGTGTAAACAACGGTTTCATTGGTTCTTAATTGACACTCCTGTCATTGTAGATTACACTAAAGATCTGTCAAAGGTGTGACCTAGTCTATATCATAATCATCCTGTTTAACTACGTGTTAAACATACACGGGTAAATGATATGCTCATTAAATATGATAGTTTAAAAACGTGGATCACACTACCATTATCGTCGTTGGCATGAGTCATTTGCCGACTTCCTAAAAGGTAAAAGAATTATGTTTTGTTAACAAGTTTGTTTCTAAACGGATATACATAGCGACAATCCACTGAACTGCAACCACACTGTTTCCAGAATCATCTTCAAGTTGGCAGCCCAATTCTAAACGTTTCTGCTTGATTTGTTGTTCACGTGAACAACGCGTGAACACCCACGGATGGGTATGACTGAGAGTTTACTCCACAACTCGACTTATTCGCTGTGAAAGGTTTGTTGGCACGAAAGGTCTCTCCGAGTCAGTGGATATAGCTGTTTTCCCAACTCTAAAAACGCCCGGAGCGAAGATACTATCTTATCTGGTGTGTTATCTGTCCCAGGGACCAGGCTTACACCCACAATACGGCAACGGGCAAAAGCAATCTGTTCGTACCGCGACGTATTTCGTCTGCTAGTAATTCCCTTGGCGCGAAATCGTCCCGAAAGTGTGCTAAGGTTGAACCGAAGATGAGATTTGTGCTGTTGCTGTCGACTCTGGTGGTTGGAGTGTGCCTTGTACAAGCCAGGCCTAAAGCTGCAGGTAGGTTTCATTCAATTGCCCACAGCATTTACCTCGGTCATTAGTTTATCTGTAACATATCATTTGCTCGTTCATTTTTATCTTGTACCGTAGCGTACTATGATACGTTTCAACTACAGAATAGTACACGAGGACTGGAAATCGTTCGGTTTCGTGGCTGGTTTTGTCCTCGTGAGGACATTTCCTTTCACCCAAGACTTCTAGAATGTATCTGTATGTTGTGACATGTGCTGATTTATTAGTTTCGCTGCTGTTAGGAACACGAATTAATGTCATTTCTGACATAATTACATAACACCGTTGTATGTCCTTGTGCCCCATGCAATAACACATAGCTGGAATAGCCGAGGCACTGTTTAATGTAAATAGTATTTCACACTGTTCAAGGCCTAAGTTTCACAAATTTCTACCAATTGTTTCTTCTCTGACCGTGGCTAAACATTTCATACAGTAGTCTTCTTTGAAAATAATTCTGTAGAAATCAGATGTGCAACTCTAGTAGTTCTATATCTTTGGCAATCACTATGTCCAGAACAAGAATGTAGAGGATGTTTTTGCTGGAAACATGCAATGACACTTTAGGAGATATGTTTCACAACATGTTTCGCAACGTTCATGTTATTTTTATGTCCCTGCCATGAGTTCAAGTTACTGATACATACGCCAAAAAGCAGTTACTCAAGCAACTGGATAAGATTTTGGAAACGGTCAGACGTTTCAGCTAGTATCCACTAGCTTTCGTCAGTGACTGAGAGACCAGAGGAGAAATGCAGGTCTATAAGCACAAACTATTGATACTGCTTTTTGGCGTATCGTATTGCTGGATGTCTAACCTTCATCGACGTACTGAAACATACCCATTCAACTCTCATTAGCATTCTTAGGCCGTTGAATCGTCTGCTAATAATAGTTCAGACAAGCCAGAAGCAGTACTTATACTCGATGAATATTGAGCATTTTCGTAGAATTGTGATATACAGTTACAGTGTGAACGCCCTCTAGAGCGTATAGTACAAGAGCGAAGCAGATGCGTCTGCTAAGAATAGTTCAGAAAAGGCATAAGTAGTACTTATGCTCAATGAGTATTGCAAACATTTTCATAGGGTTGTGATATACAGTTACAGTGTGAACGGCCTCTAGAACGTGCAGTAGGTCTCAGGTGTTTCCCACGAGGCAGATGCGTCTGGCGTCTGACATACTGAAACTGTGCGAAAGGTTACGCACAGCATAGGTTACCTTAGTCTCTACCAGACTAACTACGCTGGCTATATATATAGGAGAATAATGGCCTAGGAGTTTGGCCGCCTTGTAGGTTTGACGGAGGAAAGAAACTACCTCCCCGCGGCCGGACTCCCTTGGCCCATTTGATTCTCTGTTTTGCCGAATTCTACGATCCGTATGTAGAAAGGCCTGGTGGAGGCTAAGGTTACCTGACGCCCACGTGAAATGTAATATGCAACTAAGATGTTTTATTTTTTCCGCGGCGGTTGTGTGCCATATGTCGTAGTTTTAAGAAGCAAAGGCGGATAGCATAGTTCAATATGAACTGCCTAAAGAAACGAGAAGAAGTTGAACCCGTAAATAGTAGACTGCATTAGTATGTATAGTTTAAGTAATATATTGCTGTATTCTTTTCCCCTGTTTATTCATCATTTCATGACCTGTACTTAGCTTGTTAGAGCACAAACGTACAATATAGGTCTTTTATTCATTCAATATTCTAACTACATGTTTATTTTAAAATCTACGACGTATGAGCCTATACCAGGCCTTCCTACGGGGGTACAGATCGTAGAATTCGGCAAAAGAAGGGGAGAAATAATTGGCCAGGAGAGTCAGTCCATGGAAGGGTTAATTAAATCTACGCTTGGGTAAATTAAATCTACAATGGCCGCACTCTCATGGCCAATTAGTCTACCCATTTGGCTGCCTACATTTCACTGCTTTTGAACCCGCGTTGTTATAATTAGTCTGGTAGAAACTAAGTTAAACGACGTACGGCAAGAATGGTATAAAGAGTGAACTGTCGTAGAGCACAGAGTCGAACTCGTTGAAGCCAACGACAGTTGGGGCATCATAACTAGAAAGCTTTAAACAATTATTCCAGTAGTTACATGTGCAAAGATTGGGTGTAACAGGTCGTTCGGTGTAATATAGAGAGCTGCCGCTGCACCGCGTGCCTGAGAAGCTGGTTTGTTACGCCGAAGAGCGGTTATACCGGCTATATAACGTTACAGACACAGAAGCTGGTATGTTACGCCAAAGGACGGTTATGTCGGCTATACAGATACACGATCTGTATAGCTGGCGGAAGTTGGCTACATTACACCGATCGACTTGTTACTCCTAACCCTTGCAAGTTGCATATCTAACTCGAGGCATTGTTTAAAGCTATCTAATGACAATGCCCCTACTGTATTTGGTGACAGCGAGTTCCACTCTGCGATAGTTCTAGGAAAAAACATACAGGATACAGATGATACAGAAGAACCATTGTACGTTGTGTATGTGACCGGGACTTTAGTTCCCACACACATGAAACCCAGCGGAAAGTCATTCCTGTGCGCTGACTAGCTGCATGCGTGTTCCTGCAAACGGTTTTGGGTAAAACAGGAAGCCACAGTTAACTCTGGCACGAAACATGAGAGAACGTGTTTAACTACTCGTGTAGCGCCAGGCTAGCCAGTTAGACTTGTGTTTCACTGGCGTTCTTCTCTACTAGACGTTAAGTTCTGCTAGACATCTTAGGTCCTTCTAATGAAGATCCTATTGAACAAACAGACAAACAAATAAACAAACAAGTCCTTGCGCTTAAATTTGTAAAGCTAACCAAAAACAAAATCAACATTGGGGATTACTTTTAACTTGTTTCTAAGTGTATTAGGTTCATGAAACTCATATGATGGCATGGTGGCCTTGAAAAGGTGTACTTAGGTCCACCTGTTCCACCATGCCTTCCATGTACATGTGTATGTGGTGAATTGTAATAAATAAATAAAATAAATATGATAGTTTGAAGAACACGCGTTCCATAATACGATAGCGCCTTGATTTTTGTCAATACGTTTCTAGATGCAGCATTTAGTTGTAGTCATATTTGAAGTATTTAGAGTGACCATTTCGTTACAGGAAATGCCAAATGTTTCAAAACTTTTCTTTCCCATCCCCAGCCTGCAGGGCCATCCTGTCCGAGGTGAAGAACGGCCGCTGGAAGGACATGCCGCAGGACATCATCGACGACTGTCGTGAGTAACGTAGTCATACTACATGCTCTGATCTTAAAGGGATGGGGATCTTTTTCCCACATTAATAGACTTCTAGTGCAGCGACAGTCTCTGTTCGTATGGCGTGCTTCTCGTTCGCAAAAGTGTGGGAACTTTTTTATGTCAGACCACAAGAAACTGTTGCGCAAGTAACTGGGTAGACTTTTAAGAATCTAATATGTATTTTTGCAGTTGCTTATCTGGATGGCTATACTAATTTAACCTTCATCGACGTACATGTATAATATCCTTATTGCACAGCTATACACAAATATAATGCTGCTTTGGGAGCAAAAAACAACTGCTCGCAGAAGATATTTGAGAAGAATTTCTAAGACAAAAGAATTCAGAGAATCTTCTAGAGGATGTTCGCGGTTGAATGCCTCGTGATTTTTTAAACATCTGCTCAAAAAAGTCAAGGAAACCTGCCTACTAACAAAACGTTGACCATCTCTAGGGCAGTCTGTTCAAAATATCTTTCTCCTAGCACTAGCACCCTTTTCCTTGGGGAAAGCAGTAATGTTCAGTCTGATTGACTCCTTGTTCTTAAAAGTAAGCCTCTAGCATTTTCTCGAAGATTTAAGAAAGAAACCTGTGTACTAGATAAGATGCCCTGCCCTCTACCAGGCTTTGGAAGCCGCTGGGAAGAGCAGAAATCGGCAAAATAAACAGATAACATGCCAGGAGAGTTAGTCCACTGGAGTGCATTTGCCTCTCTACAATATACTCCTTTAGCTAACCAACTCCCCTGATATGTTATCTGTCTACTTAGCCGATTTCTACTCTTCCCAGCCACTTCCAAAGCCTGGTAAAGGCTAGGCCATCTTATGTAGGACGCAGGTATCCTAAATCTTCGACAGGATACCAGAGGCTTATTTGTAAGATACCCGTGATTTCCAGGCCAGGCTCTCCAGAGCACCAGGCACGGCCACCACCACAAGGACACCGTGGGTGACCAGCCGGGAGAGCCCCTGCCGCCTGGGTTCGTGCTGGAGCCGCCGCTTGACGGGGAGAGCACGGACTACGTGAAGACCACCCGGAAGTTTATCCGCACCCTGATCAACGCTCTGTCCGGCCTGTCAGTCAACCTCAAGCACATGAAGGCCACACAGAGGCAGGCTGACCTGAAGCGCGGGAAACCGTGGAAGCCTTAAAACCAATTTCATCATCATCTATTGCATCATCATCTATCGCACTCAACGCCCTATAAATATCTTTAACAATTTTCAAACCACTGTAACTTCAACGCATAACTTACCACCCGGCAGACTGGCAACAGAAAGCCCTGGAAGTCCTAAACTAGTTTTGTCATCATCTATTGCATCTTTCACCCCCTCAAACACTGCCAAACATTGCTCTAATCGTTTAAGAACGATTTCACAATTCACTGTAACTTCAACGCCGAACTTACCAAGTTTATCCGCACGCTGATCAACGCTCTGTCCGGCCTGTCAGTCAACCTCAAGCACATGAAGGCCACCCAGAGGCAGGCTGACCTGAAGCGCGGGAAACCATGGAAGCCCTAAACCACTTTCAGCATATTTCACGGCATAAAACATTTCCTTTTAACATTTACATTTCCTTCTTGGCTGGTCTACTCAACGTTTGTTTCAGAGGAGTCTGATGGAGACTAAATCAGTATTTCACTTCCTAAAGCATCACTTTTAAAACACGTCCTTTTAACAGTTACAGTTCATTTTTAGGCTGAATTCTACTATTTGTTCACCCTGGCACCCTGCAAAGGAGTCTGGTGGAGACAAAACTGTAGTTTCATCATATTTCACTCCATAAAGCCATGTCAAGCATTACTTTTAAAACCACTTTAACAATTTTGTAACTTCAACGCATAACTTACCACTCGGCAGGCTGACCATGGCAAGACTTTTCAAACCGCTTTAACCACGTTTAAACCACTTTAACAACGCCGAACGTTCCACTAGAGGCTTGGGAGCGTCAAACCAGTTTTGTGTACTACTTCTAGTTTTCCTTTCACATTTCAATTTCAACAGAATGATTCAGATCCGCGTAGGTCCTGATATGAAAAATATTGTGACCTGAAACGTCAGACAACGACGTTTCTAACTTTTACGAGTATTCAGAACCGTTTCGGGGTTATGGGCAAAGGTAACATTTCAGGATGCCATGCTTTTCATGTTATTTAATCACGTTAAAAAAACATACCACGCTCAATGGTCTTTGCATGCGCATTAGGCAAGATAGATCTGTCTTTTGAAGTTTAAACCATATTATTTCTAGCCTGGGGACCATCCTGGTTAGTTTACGTCCGCTCCCACATTCGACTGTGAGAGCGGACGTAAACCAACCAGGATGGTACCCAGGCTATATTATTTCAGAGCCTTTCTGCTAATGATAGTGAAAATCAGTATTATGGGTTGTTAGAAATTGCTTTTTTTTCTACCGAATGCAATGGCATTCCCTCTTTGTACCAATGCAATTAATTATCTTTACTAAGCAATGCTAGATATACTTTAAGTCTCTTGCAAATCTAACAATGCAATTATGTATTAAGGAAGAGCCGTAAGGTGATATACGTAATATTTATGTATAAGGAGTATATGGGTACTGTATTGAGGCTGGTTTCCTCTTACTGACAATGCAAGTTCACTGTCACTTTAAAGCAATTAAGCGGAAGGAATAAAATTTACGGGAAATAAAGTGTGGCATCTTTCCTTCTAGATCTGTTTTCTTAGTGTCATCTTTCCTTCTAGATCTGTTTTCTTAGTGTTTTGGAACTCATCGGTGGTTCCAATACTGTTGTCAGGTTATGTAAGGTACGTCCGCTGAAAACACGTCTCACCACAAACAACGTGTAAAAATAGATGTACAGTTGTATAAACACGTGCGCTGCCAAGCCTGAAAAAGTCAAGGGTCATTCGTTGCCTTCATTACCCGTGTGGAAGGTATTCAGGTCATTTTCTCAAGGTCCTACTTAACCTTTAAGACCCAAGGCTTAACTTTATTTTCTAAAGAATAAATTATTTCTTAACTTTATATTGATGATTTTACTGTTACTGTGGTGGGCCCCATTGAAAATCAATTTGACAAACTTGAATGGGCTACCCAGCTGTTTTAAGATTAAATGAAGGAGGCATTCTTCTTGTTCGTTGACTAGAAGAAGCCTGGATTATAGAGATTACAAAGAGTTGGATAAATAGAAAAGTAAATCAAGAAAGCAGACCCGGACTATAATCTTTTCAAAGCCTTACCTCCGGGCAAGTAGTTGTTTTTTCTTACACTGAAGAGTTAGAGACGCCTGGCGGTACACATTAGCGTAACAGGCAACATGCATGGCGCGTTACCTGTAGTACGGCTTAAAGCAATTACTAAAAGGCTGGGTGTGCATCTTTACGCTCCAACAAATGTGAACAATAACAAGTGTTGTCGGACGGCGTGGCTCTCAAATCCGTGCTTTTTTGTTAGTCACATTACTCCAACAAAGACTATTTTACTCAGACACTTGATTTTTTTTAGTTTTACCTTGAATCAATCAATGTTCAGTATTTAAGCAAATATACAGATTCACAGATTTTTTGTTTTTATCTCGGTTCTAAATCACCCGGGACTTGGCGATCTCTGACCTCCATTGAAAACCCGCTCAACAGGTTACTTATAACACACATCTTTTTTTAGTATTCAGCTCCTCATTGCAATTCTTGTACAATCTGGAAGATGGCGATTGCTGCTTCTACTGTTGTTGTTTTTCATTTAAATTATGCAAGCACAGTTTGGCACTTCAAATATCAACCAACGTATCAGCAGAGGCAATTCTTAAAACGTTCATTTGAATAATCATTACATACGTAAGAACTTATGTCCATATATAGCCTGTTGCGTTGTAGATAGGAGAGTAGAGAAGGTCACAGTACGTCATCAAAGCAACGAAAGCAGAAAAACTGGTTCAGATCAGAGAGACGAAATAGGCGACCCGGACTGAAGGTGTTTTGACACAAGGAGAAACTCCTGAAATCTTAAAAGGAGGTCGACGTAAAAGGAGCAGAAACAACCGATATGGCGACCCGTTGGCTGAGTGTCTTTCTGGTGATGTTGACGTTGGTTGAACTTGGTACATCAGGTAAGCTGTTGGAGAGATTTTGGCTGACTTACATGTCGTTTGTCGTGTAGCAAAACGACTTCCAAATCATTAACGTTCTGTGTCAAGTGAATAGCCACAAAGTATGTGGACCAGACTAACATATATAGTATAGTATTTTGATATATAGTAAAATATATATAGTGTTGGTGCATTTGGTATACTGTGTTTTTAACTTTTCACTATATCTCATTGATTTTACACGGAGCTTGCTTCACGGAGTTTACTCCATTCTCTCAAAATAAAAGAAAAAAAAGCGTTGTAGTTTATACTGGTAGAATATAAAAAAAAGCTAGTCTACCTCACATTAGAATCAGAAATGACACCGTGCTCTATTAAAGGGTTAATGCACCGCCCCGAGGTGTATATGGTGTCATAAATGCATGGTCAGCTGCTATAACCACCGAATAAACCACCGAGTGAGCGAAGCGAACGAGGTGGTTTATGAGGTGGTTATAGCAGCTGACCATGCATTTATGACACCATATACACCGAGGAAAAGGCGGTGCATTAACGTTATTATCATATAGCCTATCCAAACTGACACAATGAATCAACACAATTCCTGTTCAAAACATTAAACCTTTAATATTTACATAACAATACATTCCAAAATATTATAATAATGGTTTGTACTTTAAAATAAATATGGAGATCATTTTACAATAAATATAGTTTACAACTTTACACTTTAGAATTGTTTCTTTTGTCAGCATTGCAACTGGCAACAGATCATTTTACAAGATTCTCTGAACAGCATGGCAACAAACAATCATGCTGTTTTGTTTCTTAAACTTTAAGTTAAAGTGGAAGTAACATGGTACGTTAAAGTTCACATAACCGCTAAAAACATGCGACAACTGAGACATACATGTAGACTGCATATCGTAAAACCATTCAACCATCTAATGCAGCCAGCATGGTAACAAAGCATGTTGCGTAAGTACTTGCACTGAAGTTGATAGTAACTGTCTGATTCTCTGAACAGCATGGCAACAAACAATCATACTGTTTTGTTAATTAAAGTGGAAGTAACATGGTCCGTTAAACTTCACATGGCCGCTAAAACATGCGACAACTAGGACATACATGTAGACTGCATTTAACCATTTAACCATCTACTT